ATCCACCAGGGAGTCAAGTCCAAGTCCATCTCCCGGAGGATGGTTGCCATCAGTGCTTGACGCAGCATCGCTTGGCAAGGAGTAGTGGCTGGGAGATCCCTCTGGTTCCGCAGGCTGAAGTCCATCGGTTCGAAATCCATCGAAGCCTGAAAGGAGGTCGTCGCCAAAGTCCGAAAGGCTGACGGCCATGTGACCCCGGAAGGTCCGGATCAGAGGCAAGTCCACAACTCCCAAGCCCTTGAAAGAGACGGTATTGTCAGAAAGATTGATGACCGTGCCAAGCTCTTGCATGAAAGGCCTTGAAAGCAAAAGTGGTGTCGTGCCTTCGACTTCGGCTGAGTGAAGTGAGCCATGTGCTCCACCAATGCCGACAGGAAAAACTTTGACATGATTTGAAATGGTTTCACCACCAACTCCTCTGAAACGTTGCACCTTGTCCTTGACCTGAGGGATCAAGCCCTTGGTCTTCAAGACTTCTTCAAAGGACTTGGCCCAGCTGCTGCCATGCATAGTTCTCGTGCAGCCGCTGTCAAGGATTGCAAGGCCAGGTGCGTCCAGCTCAGAGAGGGAGTAGTTGACAGTGACGTCAACGAGGTCGTTGGCATCTTCGACCATCATCACATCGCAGTAGTGAATGGAGACTGCATGAACATCATCAGGATGGTGTTGAAGTGGAACTTGAATGCACCTGCTGGTTTCCATCTGAGCAGGATCTTGGGTGCGCTTGCCCAAAAGTTGATGTGGTTCAAGCTCCGTGGACTTCATCATCCGCATCGCTGAGAGATTGACCAAACGCAGTCTGCCAAACAGGTAGAAGGCGTACCTGTAGATCTCTGGAGCCATCGGCTGGTTTCCCAAAGCCATCTGCATCACTTGGATGTTGTAGGAGGTGAAGTCAGGCGAGGGGTATGATGCCACCTCACAAAAGGGTCTGCCAGCAAATGGTCCATCTGAGAACAAGGTTTGATCGCCCGGCAGGGGCTGCAAGATGCCGAGCTCTTCTTGTGGAAGTTCAGGAAATGGTGGCAACTCCTCAAAGGGGTCAACCTTCACACCATAGAGCCATACAGATGCTTGTTGGCCGCGCTGTTGACCACGCACAATCTTGGCAATTGGTGGCTGCTTCGCAGTGGTTGATGTTGAACCCGGAGAGGAAGGTGAAGAAAGAACTTGCCAACCAGCTTCATGATGTCGCTGTTGATCTTGCACAGGGTATGGCACTGAAGGTGGATCAGGCCTCGGGCCATACTTGGGATCTGCAGGAACTTCACCACCAGGTAGTCCTGCAACAGTCAACTGTGCAACGCGGGCAGCGAGCTCTCTGGATTTTGCCGCTGAACCCCACTTCGTACACATTGCAATTTGGGTCAAATAGGCCCAAAGCTGAACAGGTTCTTTGCGTCTGGCCACGATGACATTCTTGTTGCACTCTTTGCAGGTGATGTGTCTCGTGTGGCCATTTGCCCCACGATGGAATTGGCGCTCAGATCCACCATGGTATGACGCATGCTCGCAAAGTTGAGGGGCGCGAAGGGCCATCATCACATCGAAACACTTGGTCTCGACTGGCAAGGAATCAGTGAAACGGTTTTGAACATCGCTTGGGTTTCCGTAGGTCTCGTCAGGGACCTTGTCATATTCATGGACCTGGTCATTCTCAGAAACGTGCGTATACTCAAAAGTGTGCACATTCTTTGGAGTGGGCTCATATGCAGGGGCCAGGTCATACGCAAAAGTCATGTCATTCGCAGGAACTGCATTGGAGTCAGGAGAGAGGTCAAAGGAAATCTTGTGCGCATAGTGGACAAGTTGCTCATCGTCAGACTCGATCTTGTCATGCAGCACGAAAAAGTTGGTGCTCTTCTTGACAGGCGATCCAGGCTTCTTCTTCGGGGATGCCTTGCCAGAAGACTTTCCATGACCTTTGGATCCTCCACCCTTCTTGGAAGCACGAGGACATTCAGGATCTCCAACCCAATGACCTTTCTGATTGCATGCTGTGCATTGAGTGACCGTCTTCAGGAAGGAGGCGGCAGCCTTTCTCTGGTCTTTGGCCTTCTGGTCAAGGCTCATCTCACCCTGGGCCTTGAAGGGGAACGTCTGAGTTGCCGAAGAGCTAGGGTTCGGACGCTTGATGAACTTCTTCTTGAAAGAGCCGCGATGCTGAGCAATGGTCGCAAAGGCCTCAGCAACGGCTTCATCCTCCAAAGCTTCCGGCGGCACCTCATTCATCAAGGTCTCCAAGGTTTCGTCCTCAGAGTAGGCCACATAGGTCTCGTCATCCACCTGCTCATATTCAGGGGACTCTTCCTCAGCAAAAACCTCGTCATCTTCAAGGATGTCCTCATCTTCAAACTCCGCAGCAAAGATCTGCTTCTTGGGGAAACCTTTCCAGCGCGCTCTGCTGTGCATCGAGAGCTGATTGCTCCCACGTCCAGTTCCCAGGAAATCTTTTCGAACCACAGGTCGCGTAGAGGTCACATTGGGGAACTGAATCCTCAATGCATGAGACACTTTCTTGTAGTCATACTCGTTGTTCACTGACGAAAGGATGCCCTGCTGCTCACGTAAATCCAAACCTGAAAAGAGCAAGAGTAGCATGCACTTCAAGTTGTCGCTCAAGTTGGTTTCACTGTTGGCCTCCTTGAGTCTGGCAAAGGACAACTCCCTTCGCACTATGTATTGTGCCATGGTCTCATTGTTTCTCCTCCACACCTCTTTGCTGTAGAAGTACTCCAAAAACAACTCTTGGACCCGGACAGGCGCTTCAGTGGCCAAGCTGCCCTTCAGCGTGTTCAGGAGTAAGTTCATGCCCTCTTCAGTGGCCTTGCCCTCTGCAGTCTTGGTTCGAAGTTCGCTGTGACTCAGTTTGCGCACAGCTTCATATGCAGTACCTTGTAGTTGGGCACGAAGGTGAAGAGGCGTTGCTATTTGGAGTGAATCCTGACCCTCACGTCCATGAAACAAATCCCATGCACGCTCTAGGTACTCTTCTAGGTATTCTACCTCTCCAGCAAACTGTGGAACACCATGTCTATCCGTTTCCAACCTTCCATTCACTGAGAACCCAGACATGGATGCCGTAGAGCTCATCGAGCTTGTAGTGCAAAGCCAAGGGAGTAGCAGCTCAACCCAGGCACGTAGATGCCGCAACCACCGTAGGTCTTGGCAAGGAAGTAGAGGCGCAGTAGCGCTGGTGCAGGAGCGCAGCAGCGAAGCGTATGCCCTAGTCAAAGGGCTCCGCTTACCATCAGAAAGCACACAGCGGCGTGGTGCAAGCAACGGTCTTTTCCTGTAGCGGAAAGGGCGCCCTTCGGGCCAGTAGATGCAGCGGTCAATCGAACCTGGACATGTGTGGCAGCATGATGTACCTGAAAGGACAGTTGGATTTTCTCAGTGTATATATATATATAAATGAGAAAACTAGTTTGTTTCTTGCCTCATCTGCCTCGTGGCTTAAATGTGAACTTTGGATTTAGCACCTCGCCTCATTGCATACCGTGGGGAAATCATGAACTCGCCTCGTTAGTGCAGATTTTGAGACCCCAAAACGGAAGAGAAAAACTTTCAGGTTGTTGGAGAAACAGTTGGGGGACCGTCCGGGTAGCCCCCGACTTTGCACAATGACCGACTTTCGCCATGTCCGTTGAGTGCACAAAAAAGGCCGAAAAAAAACAGCAGAGAAATGTGGGTTATTTTCTCAACTGCCAAACGATAACCTCGCAAATGCCTGGAATCGAATGCCTTTGCTCCTTCTCCGCTTTCGAAGAAAGCCGACAAAATTTTAAAAAAACTGTTCTTATGTGCTATATATATATATTGACATTTAAGTATCTGTGTTGACACATCCCATATAGCACAACTGGCTTTAATATCATGGGCTGTCCATATTCAAAACAATCTCTGGCTTGATGTTCATCACCTCACTGGCACCTTACTCCCATGGTTGATCAGCTGTCCGGGCAATGTGCAATCCGTCTCAAAGTGAGATGTTGAACATAGCTTAATTGCGTTTAAAAAATGACGAGCAAATAGCTCATAGTCGTTTAAAATTAATCATACTATCCAGCTTTGATCGTCAACATGATCGATGAAGTTGGGCTCTTAATGGGTTGGGAATTATGATGGTTGAGCTATTCCAGCGATATTTACGTTGCACAAACTCCCAGTTTCCAACTTGACATCACTTCACATCTCTCCGCCCCACTTGAATCCCACACCCCGCAATTCCCAGGTCATTGATACCTCTTATCAGCAGTTACCAAGGACCCGTGAACCAAAGATAGATTGAAAACCTCGATCAAAACTGGGAAACCATATCTCTGTGGACATCTATTGAAAAATTACATCTATGTACAACCTCTGGGGTTGAGCAATCCCTATTGCTGAAAAAATCCCCAATAAACCAGGGTTCGTAACCCTCTACATTCTCCTGTATTGGCCAATCAACCATCATTTATTATGTTCCCATATGATAAATCCCATTGAATCAAATCAACAGTGGCATGTTCGATATAGTCACATTGCAATCATTTGCTAAAACTATACTAGTCATATTACACTTATACTGGTTGGTGGTTGACCTACCCCTCTGAAAAATATGCGAAAGTCAGTTGGGATGATGAAATTCCCAATATATGGAAAAATAAGATTCATGTTCCAAACCACCAACCAGTAAATACTTATCACTTCTCAATGTAGCAGTGGTAGAATGAATATGCATGAACCTGGGATCATCACAAACTTAATACTGGGAAAAAAACCTGGTATGATGAGTATAATCACTCCCATATGCTCCATGTATGGTATATTTACCTACATTTGCCGGAAGAAAATCACCCAAATGTAGGTAAATATACCAGCACCATGGGTTGCATATGGGACTGCTATTATGTATAATCACTGTCTTTATACCATAGAACTGGTATTATGTATTGTCCAGTGGTATGAACCTCGATTCCTATTCCAGGTGAACCTCAACGGCGTGACGCGGCGCTCTCCTTCACCCTGTCCCCTGGCACTGTCATGCTCGCGCCCGCTTGCCGACCTTACCACACGCAGCTTGGGATGGTAAAACGGGCACCAAAAACTGCATGAAAAATCCTGGAAACAGGGAGGTGACCGGCAAAAATGTGGTTCTTCACCATCTCACGGTTCATTTCACCAACTTGCCAACAATAGATTTAATATGATGTTATGTTCGCATACATTGTATTGAAGCAACAAGAATCCAGAAACATGGTATGCCAGAAGGGGCATTTGAGCAATCCATCGACTACAAAAGGCGACTTGCGGAGGAACGGAGGTGTCCAACATGGTGAAAAAATGTTGACCAGTGAACTTGTAACAACGGAACAATGAACAATAGAGTATCCCATAGGATCCATGTATGCAATATATGGTAACATTTACCATCAATATACCCCAGTCATGTTAGCATATATACCAGCACCATGGATCCTATGGGTATACTCAACAACCATTTCGATATCCAGTTATCATTCTGAACTATAAGGTCCATGATGGTCCATGATGGTCCAACGAAACAGGATAAAAAAAATAGAAAAAAACACCGCAGCAGCACATCATCTTTTGCCACCATGTCCATTAAGAGGTTTGCTGCACTGTTTCGCAGTGGCGCAGAAGCCACGGCACTGAGTCGTGGGCAAAAAATGGAGGCGTGGTAAAAGCGACGCGATGGGAGGAGAACGCTGGAACGACCAATTCACCAATCCCACAATGTTGATCTTGACATCTTCAAACATCATAAATCAACAGAAACCATCTTTTTCATATGACATCATGGTTCTTTATGATTTTTGATGGTATATAGCAATGTGGGAAAAAAAAACGCCATTTCCTGATCATCAAAAATCAGAAAAACCATCCCCCACTGCTAACAGCATTGGGATGGTTGTTAAATTTGTGCTGACCATCCCTAAATGGAACCCTGGCATCCAACTGACAATTCAAGTTGTCCAGGATTTCCACCAAGACTAAGGTTGTAAAAGAGAAGTGGTAGGAGGTTCCAGAGACCCAAAAGACCGCTTTTTGATGCATATCTCTTATATAGGTTGTACATGGTTGTACGTACATTTGTTTTTTTTCGGGTAATCCTTGACGTTTTTTAGGCCTTCTATGTGTCCAGATTGCTCATTTCCAGTAGATTCAGTAAATTTCAGCGTTTGCGTCCATTATCCATCGTTTGCGCCCAAAGCATAGTCAACTCCGAAGTTCACTGATTTTTTTCAGGATTTGGAAGGTCCAGGATATGTATATATATAGTTGTTGTTTATCAACCAACATTGGATGGTTGAATATGAATAAATCTTAAATAAAAAAACTAGGTCCTACAGAATACATGGTATCAAAATGCTTGAACCCTGTAAATCGCCATCCCCTCATGGGGGAGTCGGAACCTCCGGCCAGAATACATCCACCGTTCAAATCTTTGAGACTGAGATGTTTGATTTTTGCTGCCTCACTCTGTTTCTTTGGCCTAGTGGATCACACGGTTGCACGATGCTGACAAAATGTTCTTTTGATATCTGTTTTGCATATAGTTTCCAGCTTGGATCGTAGTTGCCAACAAATGGGGAAACGTATGGAAACGCAAGTATGTGAATCAGCCAAATATATGAGTCATTTGTTGGCTCCAAAACAAAAAAGGGCTGGGGCGAAAAAACTGAAGCTGGAATTGAAAGAATTTGAATCAAAAAGGGGGTTCGCAACGAAAAGGAAAAGGACCTGAAATCATTCTCCGGTAGCTTCAAATGGCTGAGAACTGTCGTTATTTTTCAATGGGCACTCCAAGTGCCATAAATACCAGAGAGATCACATGGGTGAGGCGTCAGAAAACAAGGTCGATACATATGGCTGTTTGGAGGCTGCACTACCAGGGTACGTAGAGATCTTAGTCACAGCGGTTTGACCTTCTATAAAATTGCGAAGAATGGGCACTTAGGGAAACAACGGCTTGTGGGATATTCTAAGAATGAGAATAAAGCGAAGCTGATCTGGCAGTGTGTCAAAACCTTGTACCCCTGTAGTTCACATCAAAATAGCTGGTAAATGGATGTTCATCCCACTAAAAAAGGTATAATAGGTATTGATCCATACCCATCTGTAGGAGACTGCACGAGTGAACCTTCCAATATCCACAGTTGATACGATAATTTGGGATGATCATTCCCGATGTCCATGGTGAAAGTAGCTCACTAATCAGATCGATTTTTGCAAACGCTTTCTACGTTTTCGGAAGCCAACCAAAAACTTGCGTCTCATCCATATACCCCATAGGACCCATGTATGGTATATATGCTAACATTTGGGGTATATTGATGGTAAATGTTACCATATATCGCATACATGGATCCTATGGGTACCTACAAATCCCCAATTTTGTGCCTAAACGAATCTCCAATTGTGGCTGAGTTCCCAACATGGAAATCTTTTGAAAAAAAGTCTCCAATGGCTTAGCCCAAAGAAAACAAGGCCCAGAAATTGACTGCCCCAAATATGGACTGGTGAATACTCAAACGGGTCCCATTCATGTGGATAAACTCACCCAAATTCTACCAGGCAAACGCATTTTCGTCGTGATTCATAGCGAATTTTGCTACGAGTTTCGCTACGTTTCTCCACCAGTTTCCCCAAAAATGCCCATTGTTCATTGATCCTCACACTTGGCACCCGATTTCTTGGTCAATTCCCCATTCATAGTGATTGTTCCAAGGTTTTATCACGCATATAGGAACACCTCCCCCAGCCAAAATGCTTGGAGAACACAGTGGCCTAGTACAAGTATTAATCCACTGTGCGCCAGAAAAGTTAAAAATCTCCACCCAAAAATAGAACTCAACGTGTCTCCCTTTGATTATTTAACAAATCATCAAACTAAATGGGCCATCTATACCATAGCAAACTGTTAAATAACTATAGAGGGTACTGTAACTCCCAATGTTTTTCTTACTAAAATCTTCCAATATCGGCTAACTCCCAATTTGTCAATGAAAATCCAGCAAAACATCAAAATTGGAAGTTAGAAAATATATCTGACAATTTTGCTCACTTACCAATTTGTTCATAAAAATCCATAAAAATCCAGCAAAACATCTGGAAAATCTCTGCAGATCTCCCCAAAAACGCAGGATCTTCACCCCGCCTGGTACCATCCGTTGTGATTCATCTGCACCGCCGGCGGCGGCGCCACTCCCACGACGCCCACCACAGTGCCCTCGGGCACGGCACCGGCGCCGTAGCCGTTGGCGTTGCGGAGGTAGGCGCGAGCCTCCTCGCGGCCCTGCTCCCTGGCATTTCAATTCACATGTCATGAGATGATTGATATGAATGTTGACATTGATATTCATCATGTCATGATTTGATATAATCATCTTGTCATATCATTTTCATCACTGAATATTGACTGAATTGAAATGTTCAATTCATATCATTGATATTCAGTGATGCAGTCATTCAGCCATTCAGCCATTCCTCATCATCAACAAGTCTGAAAATGCAGTCCATTGTTGAAATCATAGACATTGTTTTTCTGGCATGTGCCTTACTGAATAATCTCTGTAGTTCACCAAAAACTGCGCCTGCCCATCCTCTTTTGTGCGAGAGCTTCTTGATGTCGTTCCCATGCTTTCCTGCCGAATTGGGATCTCATTAGTAAAAATATATGGCTTTCAAGTGAACGACCCGTCAGTTAAAATGGGTTGAGTAATTCAACATCGTGGAGAATCCCCAATATCTGAAAATTTCTAGATACAATACCTGATTGTCAAATAGATGATGTTTCATTGTCATGCTGTTTACTGAAGAGTAAAAACAAGGCAAACTCCTGTCAGATTCCCATTTTGCTAGATGATGGCATATCTATTACACAGTTGCGCACACTTGGCAATTATACCCGCGCATTAATGTCAGAATATAATGCTGTTGTTTCCCGTTCTTCCCGTTCTAACTCCAAGCAAATAGAAATCACCAACCCAGTCCAACTCAGCAAATCTAAACCATTACCATCCTATCCCATTTAAACAGTTGAAAACATCATCAAAATTCAATCTCTTCAGGTAACCTTGACGAGCCATATCCGTGTCCTGATCCAAAGTCCATATCTTTCAGGATAAAGACATATCATCATGGCATAGCAACAGCAACAACACACCAGCATCAGCGGCACACAGACCCCCACGACCGCTGGCCAGTTACCTCAGAGTTGTAGTGACATGCTCAAGCAACAGTCAAACTCTCGATAAAAAGGCGAAACATAGCCAATCTTAGAGAAAAATCAAAGTACTTCATTTTGACTAAGATAATTCAGATAATCTGTGTAATGGAATTTGATGGAATTTGGATAAATCATGATAAATCTATTCCTGCATGTATACCACGAACAGTCCCAATCAGCTCCCCAGCCGAAATTACCACATTCGACCATAAAATCTGAGGATGAGGTGCTTGTGTTTGTGCTGGTTTGGGTATGCCTTAAACCCTCCAAAATAACATTGGGATCAGGATCGATTTGGCGCGCAACATGTCGGCAAAAGTCCCTCAAAAATTGGTGAAATGCCAAAAATCAATGGGTCAGTTCACTTAGTTCAGTTCCAGTTCACACACCAAAATCAATGGGAATTTCAGGATCCTAAAATGGAGGTACTGTACCATATAAGGCCATATTTTCTGGGGATATTCCCTTACATAGGCCTTACAGGCCTTCTATGTGGTAGGTACCTCCAATTTAGGATCCTGAAAATCCCATTGAAAAAATGGGATATAGTCAACATAACTATAGAAAATCACCATGTTTAATGGGTAAATCAACTATCAATGGTCCATTTTCCAGTTCGCAAACTGTTAGTTTACCAGGCCGGGTATCTTCCTTTTGTGTGCGCCTATTTTTTCAATTCTCTCGATCCTATGGCCCATCACACGGGGCTGATAGGTACCCGGCCTGGTAAACGGGCAAACCAAAAACGAACTGGAAAGATTCACCATTTTTTGTTCATGGGTAAGATCCAACTATTTCGACTGGGCCATGGCTTCCATAGCTATTAGCTATGTTTGTGTACCAGAGGCCATTTTCAATAGTTTTTTGTATGTTTACCAGGCCGGCTAACTTCCATCATGAATCCATCTAGTGAGTAGACCCATCAAAGATCTTCGATAGGATCATCATCGATGGATTGAACGAAAAAAAACACCGTTTTTGCCACCAAACAGTGTGATACCATGTGATAGCCTTAAAAAAAAGTACGAGTATCCTACCATAGTTGTTGGTTCAATCCCAACGATATCCCATAACTGAGGCTAAATTTCCTACAAAATGATTGGCGCTAAACGACAAAAACACCAAAATACATCCATTTTTTAGGGCTGACACTTAAGTTGCTGGCATATCAATGAGAAAAATAGATGAATAGCCACTCGGCACGATGGCACCATAGCCACCACATATCCGATTGTTTCTGGTATTCTCACTGCTGCTTTTACTATTACTGTTATGTACATGGTCATGGTTACTGTTTCTATAATATATATATATTACACACCAACATCCACAACATCCACAACATCCAGCCTTCAAACACCCGAAACACAGACCCCAGCGACAACGGTACAAGATCCTTCTGGGGGTCCCCGCATTTTCAAACAAAGCCGTTTACTAATCATCAATCCAAATTCCGGGAATCATCATAATATCATCGTTATTCTTGGGCATATCCCTAGTTAGTTCTGTTTGATTTATATCTACAAATTTCCTACCATTTTGCCCACCATTTCCCAACATTGTTCCCACCATGTTAAGCAACAACAATCCATAAACCCCTTACCAACCACCATCAAAAATTTACTACTAGCTCCATACTCATGATTAACTAACACCATTTACTACCCATCAATTACTCAATCCTAATTCCTAATGACTTGCTTAAATCATCCCATGGTTGTTTGTGAAAATCACCATGTTTTTTTTGCAAAAAAATCTTCATCAAAATCCAAAAAAAACCGGTAAACATCCACAAAAATCATCAAACCATCCCTAACACCCGGAAAAAAAACAACCTAAAGTTCATGTTTGATCCATATCTATAAATCAGTAATCCAATACTTCACATTAATTCATCATCCCCCAAAAACCCTCTGGTAATGACTGTTACATAGCTATTGAAGCCATGGCCCAGTCGAAATAGTTGATTTACCCAGCTATAAAATGCTGGATCTTTCCAGTTCGCAAACTGTTAGCCCGTTGACCAGAGGGTAACCATCATTAACCCATTTTTTTACAATCATTAACCATTATGAACCATGATTAACCATCATTAACCCATGATTAACCATCATTAACCATCACTAACCATCACCAGAGGATAACCCTATAACCATGACCCAAGCTATCCCAAGCTCCCAGGCTTCGAGGTGCAATCCCACCAGCTCTTGACCGGCTCGGGCTGATCTAAGAAACGTCGAAGGTTGGCGAAGTTCATCCGCTGCGTCAGTTGAGGGAGACTGGTCTTCTCACCCATTTCCTGGAAAGCTGCTGGTGCCAATGGCAATTATATATATAATATATATAATATATAGTAATATAGTAATTATATAGTTATATATATATATATTAGATAGTCATATTAACATAGTTTTTTATTCTGGTTGGTGGTTGACCTACCCGTCTGAAAAACATGAAAGTCAAATGAGATTATTATATTGTTCCAAATATATGGAAAAATATAATCATGTTCCAAACCACCAACCAGTATCTGGGTTGGAAAAAAATCATGAGAATTCAAAAAAAAACTGTTGGGTTTATGGTACATCGAACGTTCGTTAGGTGAACACAGGCAACTTCTCATTGTGGGCACCTAACCTCGTGGATGGGCCATGATGGGCCATGATGGGCCATGGCACCATCATGGCAGGAAAGACCCCAAAATAGTGATGGTTAGATGGAAAACCACAGGAAAACCATAGGAAAATGGTGATTTAATGGGTTTTAATGGGATTTAATGGTGATTTAATGGAGATACCCTCTGGTAATTTAATACATAGCTATTGAAGCCATGGCCCAGTCGAAATAGTTGATTTACCCATTAAAAATGGTGATGTTCCATAGTTTTGTAAACGTTTACCAGAGGCTAAAATATCCCATACTTGAGCGGATTTCCACGGCATTTCGCCCTATTTTGCCTCCATCCGTCTCCAGTCTTTCGCCAAGTCTCGGAATAGTCACCCATCACCAATAGCACTGAATGGCCCTGATCCAACAATCTCTGGTGCATCGGCTCCAATGGCGACTTATATCCTTGGTGCAATGGAGCTGGAGTAACTGGAGTTCAACCCATGAATTCCCCGATGCTTGGATTTCATGGGTCATTAAATGTCCCCATTGAACATCACCCAACCATTAGGATCCATTAGGTATATGGTCTATAATGGCTACTATAAGGTGATGTCCAATATACCCAAAATGGAACAGTTACCAACCCCCGGATTTCCCACAAAATGTCTGATCGACGCTGGTATTCCAGGTATCCCAGGCAGCCGCAGATGGAGTTCTCACACTCTTTCTCGGTGAAGTATTCGTAGGGGTTGCTATCGTCCTAGCGTTCGAAAAGCGTCACGAAAGTCACAGGTCACGATGTCGTAACGATGGAACACATGGCAATCCTACCAAAGTAGATCATGTTCCTGGGAAGGCATGGATTTGACATATAAAAACAATTAATATTTATATATATATATATACATAATATATATAATATAATATATGTATATATATATATAATATGAACAATTATTCATATATTAGATAGTCATTACTATATATATATATAGTTATATTATATTAATGAGGTATATATCCAATGGGATATCCATTTATAATAGTCATTATTGTCCAATGGGATGATTATTTCTTGGGGCGAAAAATCCACGAATTTGACCCGGCCTGGTTTTTACATACAAAAAGCGGCCTTGAAAATAGCCATGTTATAGTGGATTTACCCATTAAAAATTGTGATTTTCTATAGCTATGTTAGTGATCAACAATTGAAATAGTTAATTTTTCCATTAAACATTGTGGATCTTTCCGTTATGTTAACGTTTACGAGAGGGTATATGATTCTAAAAGCCGCACAGTTTTTGTGTGTCTATCAATGGTGCATACCACATTGTAAAAAAAAACTGAATAAGGAATAGATAAATCAGTGGATTGTAGTTGTAGGGCAAAAACTTAGGGTTTTATTCATTTTTCAACCCACATACTTCATGTAACTGGGGCTTCAACGCAACTATCAACTACCCCACAGGCCTACCATCAATTGACCAGATATTTGATGAGTCCTATCTGAATGGTAGTCACTCAAACTCTTTTTTGCAACCCCCACAAAGATGTAGACTTTATTTGAAAATAAAGCTTGCAAAAATTGACCGTTTCTAGCTTTCGTGGGTGATGCTACAAATTTTGTGTCGATGCTCCTTTTTGGATTGACTAGTTGAACAAGATTCAGGCATGCCTAGAGCTTGATATGGATGGAGCATATCCCCAGTTGTCGTTCCCATTCAACATGAAGAAATATGAGTAAAAACACAAACTGGTTATAACGTGTGACTTTATATTTGTATTACTGTAATGGGAGTTGGTGTTTAAAACAACTATTCATCACCAGTTGCTTTAGAGAAAACGCCGCCCCTTTTTGCGTGATGATGAGATAAGTAGTGCATGTCATACAAGATCATACTGTAAAATGCAGCATATTATCATATACACATACATTATCCAGGCATGATGTATGTATATTTAAAATATCAATAATATGATATATATATATATCCTGGTATATAACATGGTTTTTATCAGTATATCCCATATGCTCCATGTATGGTATATTTACCTACATTTGCCCGAAGAAAATCACACAAATGTAGGTAAATATACCATACATGGAGCATATGGCTATGGATCAATACCTATAAGTACCATTTTTAGGGTGATGAACATTCATTTACCAGCTATTTTGATGTTCACACGCTGCCATATGGGTATTATTACCTGATCTAAATTCCAATGTTGCATGATTTGAAAAACCCACGCCCGACGGCGATCTGTGGCGCCTGGAAAAGATCGGTGTTGTAGCTCTCGGCCATTTTCTCTACACCTGGTGGAAACTCTTCAACGAAACTACGAAACTACGAAACGCTTGGATGAGTATATGGAAATGTATTTTATATATATATGTCAACAACTATCTTTTTGTCTAATATGTATATATATATATCATATCAATAAACGCATATATATATATCATGTCTATTGATACATATATATATAAGATGTGACATATGATATGATACATATATATATATATGTATATGTGAATTTCTAGATTTAATCAGCTTGGGTTAGATACCGCAACAAAAAGGAAGGCAGCAACTCATCCGATGGCGACATGCACCCAGTGCAAATGTCGTCAGGTCAACCAAGCACCTGCCTTGGATATCCCCACCACGTTCTTCCTTATGAATAGGTGGGGATACTGGTGGGGAGTTACTGCCAAATTTAACTTTTCTATCTTTTGGGGGAGTTACTATACCAATGTGACCCAATTTTTATATCGTGAATCAAGAAAATAATATGAAGTTTCTGTCAAATAAGAAAGTGCAATATGTAAAAATCCCACGTTTGATCAGAAATTGCCCATAAAGAAATGCAATAAACTGACGTAATTTCACCAGCTTTGGACAAACACATACAACAATTTACCCATATGGATGATTCCGCGTTCCAATCAACATCTTTAATACCACAACCACCGTATATCTCATACAATTATAACAAATTATAAGCCATTACAAGCCCTATGGTCAGTGATCTTAACCACCATGAACCAGACCTAGTTAAATTATGATAAATTAAAATAGGTAAATATTCCTACTTAAGGCACCTAAAAGAGGATAACTCAAAAAAAAGATATGGATTATACATCGGAAACGCTCGGTTAAACATGATCGGTCCAAAACGGTGGACCCGACGGCGAAACGGTGCCCCAGTCGGGGCTCGCCGGCTCGCAGCTTCGGCAAAAATGACTGGCTGTTGTAGCATACCTTCATGAAAAATCATGAAAAATGCTTGGAAATGATATACATGATATATATATATATATATATATGTTAACTGAATTGCCGAGTGAAGGTGCGAGCCCCGACTGTTTCCAGCGTAGGATGATGTGGCGCGTACGTTGGAAGTTCAAAGACAAGGTTCAGAGCGTGTTCAGAGCGTAGCATCAAGAGGGTGCTGCAAGTTGCTTTAGTAAGCTCGCAACACGGCATTAAGAGCGTGTTGGAGGTTCCAAGATAAAGCTAACAACGTAGCATCAAGTGCGTGTTGGAAGCTCTAAGAAAAAGTTAAGAGCGTAGCTGTCAGAGCATGTTGCAAGTTGCTTCAGGAAGTTAAAAAAGTGTAGCATCGAGTGCTGTTACCAACACGCAAGGTCAAAGAACGTTATTAGCAACGTCACCATTCACTAGCTGTGGAAAGCAATTGTGATATACCTCTCTGGTAATTTGTTACATAGCTATTGAAAATGACCATAGAAATAGTGAGTTTTCCCATTAAAAATGGTGGATCTTTCCATGGCTATGTTAACGTTTACCAGAGGGTAATGTTTGCCCTCTGGTAGTCAAACACGGCTTGCTGGAGCCTGAAAAATTGTCGATGATTTTCCCAGTATCAATGCCCCAATGCCCAGAAAAGTTCGTGCATAGAAACCCGGTAGCCATATTTGATTGCCACAGTTCCCATTGTGGTAAACGGATGTAAACGGTTCAGAATATTCAATCATTCCTTAGGGATACTTCCTATTTATAGTTACACCATGTTATCAGTACGTTTGGTTTTGAATGGAACCATAACTTAATCCAGTGATATCCCAATTATATGATTGCTATTGATGTCTCATTTCCTGCTTATGATATCTGAAAATGATATCCCACTATATCCCGCTTATATGGCGCGTTTCTACTAGCTCAATGCCCCATTTCTGCCACAGTGTTTCACCCGAACAGCCTGCCGGCATGCCAAGGCACAGCGCAAGTCCGTCTTCTTCATGGCATCCACGCCCACCATCACGGGCCAAATGGGATCGTATGGTTTGGACATGTCCACCATGGAGAAGTCCGGAGGGCTGGCGTTTTGCTGGTGGTTTTGCTGCTTGAAACTGGAAAAAAAAACTGGAAAAAAGGCTGAACAATGAACAATGGTGGATTTTTAGCATGTTTGAAATATCATGATTTATGTGGATAAAAACACCTGGTTTGAAGTTCGGAAGTTTGGTTCGGGAAAATGCTCTGTTTGATGTCATTTTTATGTCCAGAAAACTGGAGTTGGGAGTTTACCTCCATATGGCAATCAAATTAATACTGTAAAATATGGGGATTTTTTTCGGTCTCAACTCATTCGATGCTTTTGGAATCGCCGGATTTTGCTTCACCTGTTGCATTCTGGGGCGAGGAATGGCGCTTCAAAGATGGGCCCTATTTCACTCATATTGGGGCATAGCCAATAACAAACCCAACAAACCCAACCTTTGGGATTGTTTATACACAATTTATACACAATGTGTGCCACAAAATTGTTTTCCACCATTTTCTAAATATTAATAAAACACAAGTGATTAGGGACCTTCTGTCATGTGGTTAGGAAACTCTTGGTAGCTCCCTTGCTCCCCATAGGGAATTTGGGTGCAACCATAGCTCGGAACCACTCCCTCCCAACCACACGATAACTTAAGCTGGTGTGCTGGAAAATCACCTATTTCTAGATCCTTGAAAACATCCAAACATCTCATATATTCCCAGAATTTAGGAGTTCATCATCAATCCACGTGGGTATAAATCACTCACCACGTGACTCACGTACTTAACGTCCACCTGGCTGCGCCATAAACTGACAATGCCATCCACGACTTGGGGGCCAGGGGGTGCAAGCCCCGACTGTACTTGTCGATGTGCTCCAACAAGTCCTGGTTTTTTACGGAGGTCCATCGTAGCCAGGGGAGTTGGTCTCGATCTTGGGAGCCAGGGGATCACACCTTAAGTAATTTTAGCTTCTTTTTAATGGTTATTATATGGTTAATATATGGTTAATATATGGTTATTATATGGTTATTATATGGTTAATGATGGTTCATAATAAACTGGTTGGTGGTTGAGCCACCTACCCCTCTGAAAAATGATGGAGTGAGTTCGTCAGTTGGGATGATGACATTCCCAATAGATGGAAAAATAAAACATGTTCCAAACCACCAACCAGTAAAGTTTCTTTACAAGTTTAGTTTTGAGGCCTCAGCCAAGATCTTTCATCATGAAAAGAATTGAAAAAAACAAACATTGAAACAATCATTGAAATTCGATCACTCACGGCCGCAAGTTTACAGCTATAAAAACTTCATCCTCATCATCCTCTGCGACCTCATCCCTTTTTGTCCTGGTTTGTTGAGAACGGGCTTTTAAAAAAAACGGGTCACAACAATCGTCAATAAACCAGAGTAATACAATAAATCATAACTAATCAACCTGCAACATTCATGTATCAACTATATCCCCATATTTTCGCTGCAAAAAAAACCTGTAAAAATTGATGCTGACATCCGACGATTTGACGCGTGGTTTTTCACGGTGAAATCACAATAAATTTGGTTAGTTTAATTATCATCAAATTGATGGTGATAATTAACTAGTTTGATGATTTCAACTAGTTTTGTCAATGATGATAGAAATAATTTGTTATCACCATGAACTATTTCTATCATCATTGAAAAACTCATCAAACTAGGCCAATCAACATCAAATCGATGGTCAAATCACCATCGAATCATCTAGTCCAACTCATCAACCATGTAGCAGCCCCAAAACAAGATTCTTAAAAAAATATGTGTTTAAACCTGGAACATATGGAGAAACCAAACCATCTTTCGATCTCCTATCCTGGAAATTCGGCGGAGCATATGTCGGCATCTTCGGATCTGGGGCTTACTTCATATCCAAAAAAAAACATGGTAATCCAGGATGGTTCTGGGGCGTGGATGTTGCTTATGATTTGATATTGGTGTTCTTTCTGTCAACAGCGAAGTGATATATTTTTTTCTGATATTGTGGGACTCTTGGGGTTTTATGTTGCACTGGGTGACTGGGTGGGTGATTACTTCATAATATTAATGTTGTTAAGATATTATGAACTAATCATGTTACCCTCTGGTAAACTAACATAACCATGGGAAATCACCATTTTTAATGGGAAAATCCACTATAAATGGCCATTTTCAATAGCTATGTTAAATTACCAGAGGGTACGCTTTCCAGTTTCCTATTCCATCCCACCAGTATTCAATCACTCTTATTTGGGTCAAGCCAGGTTTTTTTCTGTATCATTCATTTCATCCATTTCTATTGACAAAATAATTATGTTAATAATCATAGCGTTAAATTCTCCATCACGCTTGAGTTCCTTACCGCAATCAATGATGTTATGTGTTTTATCAGCTAGGTGTTCATACATTTTTTTCATAATGTCAAATCTCACGAATGAATATATTATCGTTCCTTTTACTCTTTCCACTTCTTGAAATTTACCAATTACTTTCATCCAAAATTAATCTCCTTCTTCAGTGTCTGGTGAAGGCATAGGATGACACTTTACAAAGTCTCTAATCTCTTCGTCCCCTTACAAAGTCTCTAGTCTCTTCATCATTTTTGTTCATATTGTTTTTCTTTTCCCTTCGTCATCCTCACTATCACTACCAAAGTCAGCATATATACCAATATTCCCTGTATCTATAACCTCAATTTTTGCTCTACTCATTTTCTCTTACTATAAATAGCTATTTTTTCTTTAAGTATTTACCACTTTTTGTACGTTCTCTTTAATTTCTTCTTGATTACTGTATTTCTCATAACCTTTGAACAGTTCTTCAGTGTATTCACGCAAGAAGATTTCCAAAATGTGTTTTATCTTGAATTCCTGATTTCTAAATGTATAAGTTCAATCATTTTGAGGAAACCACCAGTCACGCATTTCCTTACAACACTTCATATATGTAATGTCGTGAAAGTTTTTAAGGAAGTGATGGGTAGTTTACCACTCCCTTTTTACAAAAAACTTAACCGCCATTAAGAACAGTTTGTCGTGTTTGAATTCTTGCTAGAGTTTGGATGTATCCATCAAGACATCTATTTCTCTTTTCATTTGACGAATCTGTTCGATTGGTGTTGGATAAAGAAAAATGGTGCTGGCATTTCGGTTTTGAAGAAAAGTATTTGTCTTTTTGATGTTGTTAGATGTGTGCCTTTGCGGAGTTCTTTTTGAAATTCATTCTCCTTTGGGTTCAGGTTTTTACATTTGAAGCAGTGAAGCTTGTAATTGCATATCTCATCACAAATTCCAGCAGGAAAAACGTTGTTCATTAAAACCTTAATGTCAGTCATTTCTTTCTTACAACATCCACAGTTTTTTAAGTAAATAGCACCCGCTTACTGTATATATATATATATATATTAGTTTTTTCTTTAGGTAATTTTTGGGATCTCTTTCAGTTTTCGGGTTCAGGTTGGTTTTCATTTCCCCTTTCCTCCTCTTCCAGTTCCTTTATAGCCATATCAATTTCATCCAGTCCTTCGTTGGGGTCTTGTCCATTTGCGAGGTTTCTCAACCTCTCAAAATCCTTCACTTTATGTCTTTCATTAGGTGGGAGGGTTTTGAGATGTTCCTTTAACTCTGTTAGGTCAAAGTATGTGTTTTCATCTTCATAGTTTATAAACGTTTCCATTCGTTGCTTTTCCATTTCCAGAAGTTTGCTTTCCATCTGTTGGAATTTCATTTGTTTCTTGCCACACTTACCACAAACATTCACGAAGGTTTTGAGTAAATAACCCCAACGAGGTTTTTAAAATCACCACCGTTGAAGTTGATAGTATCAGACATCCACAGTCAAATTTAGTCATCTTATTTAGTCTTACTATATATATATATATGTATTGTTTCTTTAAGTATGTATATATATATGTTTTTAGTGTTGATATTTTTGAAAAATCTAATGCTATAATATATGGCAAGGAGACTATCAAGAGATGACACCATAAGCAATGTCTATTACAATCTTGAAACGGGCTTCGGTTCAATCAATGAAACCCTCAAGAAAGCGAAGGAACAAGACCCGACCATCAACAGGGTGGATGTGGAAAACTTTATGAGGAAACAACCCAACAAACAGATTAGAACATACAGAGGCTCAAACTCCTACACCGCACTTTTCGCAACGTTTGAGTATCAAATTGACATGGGGGATATCTGAACCCCCTTACCAAAGTTCCAGAGGTGGAAGTTCCCGTCAAGAACGATGACGAGATATGCAATGGTTGTCATTGACATCTTCAGCAAGTTGGCGAATGTCGTCCCTATGAAAGAATAAACTGGACCAAACGCTTTGTCAGCCTTAAAAGAAAGTTTCAAGAAACCTGGTTTTCCGATGTCAATTTCTAGTGATAATGACGGTGCCTTCCAAGCGGGGGTAAAAGACTTCTTTGAGAAAGAAGGCATCACTCACATGGTCACTTTGACACACGCCTACGTTGTGGAGCGTTTCATCAGAACAATGAAAAATATTATGCATGACAGGGTGAGGTTTAATCGTGGTAGTTGGACTGCTATGTTGTCCAAAGCGTTCGATAAATACAACGACACAGTCCATTCATCTACAAAAATTAAACCCAGGGATGCCCACGACGACAAGAACCATTTGGATGTCAGGGCTAAATTTGACAAGGAGGGAAAAGAACACTCGCAAATACCCAGAGGTGAAGGTGAATGATATGGTCAAGATCTTCCAGAAGAAAAACGACAACTACACGGAGAGGAAGGAGTATAACTCACAATAGAGCAATCAATCCTACAAAATCATCAAGATAGAATATGACGATGTCGGAAACAGAACCTTCAAACTGGATGGTGTGAAAAAACTGTATTTGAGACACGAAATTTTGAAAGTATAAGAAGTTATCTAATATTAATATATGACAGAGGTAATCGTAAAAGAGATTGATAATGAAGAACCCAAGGAAGAAACAATACCAGAAACAATACAGGAGGAAGCACCGAAAGAAGAGGAGAAACCAGAGGAAGTCATCGAGCAACCCGTTCAAGAGAAACCACAACCAGCACCAAAGCCCAAGAGGGTAAGACCATCAAGAGCGAAACCACCTTCTGACCCAGAAGCCTTCGAAAACGACCTTGTAAAACAACTAAAGGAAGAACTTTAAAGCGCAATGTCCGCCAGAGACACCTTCAACAAAGCCAAAGCGACGTAACAGGCAACATACCCTCTGGTTATGTCAAAATAGCTATTGAACATGGCCATTGAAATAGTGAGTTTTCCCATTAAAATTGGTGGATCTTTCCAGTTCGCTATGTAACAAATAACCAGAGGGTACAAACCTCCACGCCCCAGTTGGCCATCCCAGACACCCCTCCTTTGATTTGGCACCAGTGTTGGCCTCTGGGGTCCAGGTAGTGGCGATCCTCGGACCATTTTCCGAAAAGGGATCCTCCAGCATTTTCTGGGATAAGAACGAAACATTGGATAGAAGACTTGGAAATCTGGAGATGTTTCAAGACTGGATGCACCGAAAGAACTTTGGTTACCTGGTTGAATTTGCCGGTAAATGTCCATCATTCATCAAGGTTTATTGGTCCTGGGAAAGCACTTTCAACATGCGCGTTTTTGTTGGTTAAGATCCCTACAAAGGATGATTCTTACAAAACACATCATCTTTTTGGCTATACGTCTCATGAAAACGTCCCTTTGATATTCCCATAAATGATCCATAATGTCCATAATCATCAACGCCAAAGTTTTCAAACAAATTCTTGCCAATCCTGGCATATTTGTTGCTTCTACAACTTGTATCCCACAATTACCCTCTGGTAAATTAACATATATAGACCCTGCCAATAAGGGGTTGGAAGGTTATTTTCAACAAAAAATCGTGATGTTCAGGGTTTGTGTTAGTTTACTGGAGAGCCCTCCAGTAAATTAACATAGACTCTGGCAGATAGGGGTTGGAAGACTATTTTCAACAGAGTTGGTGATTTTCAGGGTCTATGTTAATTTACCAGAGGCTATCATTATTTAAACACACCCAAATAGGAAATCAACCCGGCGCGAGGCTTGACACCGCAACGCGCTGAGTTAAAAAAGAAACCACCAAGCATCACATCTCTCCAACCCACAGTGAAAACCACCATGCGCAGGTTTCGATCGATCAAATCCCCCATGGTGATGTTGTCACCAGGACGACCTCCAAAAAAAAAAACGGGATCGGATAATTTCGGATCCCAGAGCTCTGAGCTGGGCTGAAGTCTTTGATGGTTTAACAAACAAAAATGACACTTTCTATGGAGACTAAGACGTGGACTAAGACTTGAACAATTTTCATAGCAATACAATTTTCATATAGTACCAGTACTATAATTAATATATCAGTGAGTCATGGAGAAAGTTGTCAAGTTTCATCATCAAACAACTCGCTGGTCCTACCAAAATTAAGATTTCAGTGGATTCAACATGATTTCTATGACCCAGTTTTTGTTTTCTGTGCTCAAAGTGGTGGTTTCAAACCATCCCAAAGTTATTTTGCATCATTGGGGATCATCATCGCAGAAAATTCCGGCCTGTTAAATGAGGTACGACCCAAAATAATGCCAACTATTCCAAGTTGAATGGGATATAGATTTCACCGAAGCAAAATTGCAGGTTCGCCCAAAAGCAACAAAATAGATGTCAAGGGCCCAGCACCTCAAAATCTGGAGCCCAGCGAGACTCCCTGGAGCCTAGAAAAAATATTGAACACATGGGACATTTCCAACAATATGGATTTAGAGCGTAGGTTGGAGAATCATGGGGAATCTATAGCCGGAGAACATTCAAATTTTGGGAACCAAACAAGACCTGAGCCACTCCCTAAAGTTTTGTCTCAAGCTGGGAAACCCCAAACGTGAGATGGGGCCACATCGGCCATGTGTACCATGCCATGAAACTGCCACTAACAATGGACCCAATGAGTCCCTGTTTCGACATTTGGATGATTAAACTCAAGTGATGCTAAATGATGCTATAGTTGTCATATACTTGGGGCACACAGGCCCCACCAACGACTTGATGATATCAACCAATGGTAGGGATCATCCAGCTCTGCTTCGAGCCTGGCCAAAGGTCATAAAAAAAATACTGTCATCCAAGAAAGCAGTTTGACGCCCAAGAAAATATCTCCTAATTTTTGCATCAATCTTGCTACCCAATAAACTAGCAATGAATTATTCACTGCATTATCAATTCTGACCTTTTCCCATCACTCTCTGGCAATCAAACATAGCAAAGGAGACCCCCAATCAGAAACATTCTGATTTTCCCATACGCAGAAATGCATTACCAGCAGTACCCGCACGAGGCGGGGCGGAAGTTGCCTTAGGGATAGTCATCTATAGAACTTGCACGCGCCGTGCGCCAGCCAGGCGCGTGCGTGCGTGCTTTGTGCGAAGCTGTTGCACGGTTGTTGTCCAAGAACATGACCTGCGCACGACCCCGGCGCAATGCAACGCCAAGCAAACACTTTCCTCACACTTCACACTGCACTCTTCACACTTCACACTTGCACTTCACACTCCACACTTCATCTCATCTCATCTCATCTGAGCTTTTCTCACCTCATCTCACCTCACCTCATCTCAGCTCTTCTCATCTCATCCCATCTCTTCTCACATGTCATCCAAGTAAGTTCTTCTCAGCTATTTTCACCTCATCCGAGCACTGATCAACCTATCTCCTCGAAGTTCTTCTCAACTCATCTCAGCTGTTCTGCACGACAGACAGCTGATGAAATCTTACTGTCAGAGAACTCCCCTGTACTACTTAGTTACTACTTTGTACTTCAAAGCTTGCACAGAATAATTCCCAGTACAGAGCTTGCACAAAGTACTTCCCAGTACTACTTTGTAGTGCAAAGCTTGCACAGAGCACTTCCCAGTACTACTTTGTACTACAAAGCTTGCGCAAAAAACGTCCCAGTACTACTTTGTACTGCAAAGCTTGCACACAGTACTTCCCTGTACTACTTTGTACTGCAAAGCTTGCACAAAGCACTTCCCAGTACTACTTTGTACTATACAAAGCTTGCACAGAGTACTTCCCAGTACTACGTTGTACTACAAAGCTTGCAAAAAGGACTTCCCAGTACTACTTTGTACTACAACAAAGCACGTCCCAGTACTACTTTGTACTACAGAGCTTGCACAGAGTACTTCTCAGTACTACTTTGTACTACAAAGCTTGCAAAAAGGATTTCCCAGTACTACGTTGTACTACAAAGCTTGCAAAAAGGACTTCCCAGTACTACTCTGTACTACAAAGCTTGCACAGGATACTTCCCAGTAGCACATGGTACTAGAAAGCTTGGACAGAGTACTTCACAGTACCACTTTGCACTGCAAAGCTCGCAACAGTACTACTTTGTACTACAAAGCTTGCACAAAAAAAACACTTCCCTGTACTACTTTGTACTACAAAGCTTGCACAAAGTACTTCCCAGTACCACTTTTTACCGCAAAGCTTGCACAAAGCACTTCCATGTACTACTTTGTACTACAAAGCTTGCGCCAAAAACGTCCCAGTAGCTTGCACCCTGTACTACTTTGTACTACAAAGCTTGCACGAAGCACTTCCCAGTACTACTTTGTACTACAAAGCTTGCACAAAGTACTTCCCAGTACTACTTTCTTTGTACTACAGAGCTTGCAAAAAGGACTTCCCAGTACTACTTTGTACTACAAAGCTTGCACAAAGCGCTTCCCAGTACTACTTTGTACTACTAAGCTTGCAAAGTGGATTACTACTTTCTACTAGAAAGCTTGCACAAATCACGTCCAGGTACTACTTTGTACTACAAAGCTTGCACAAAGTACTTCACAGTACCACTTTGTACTACGAAGCTCGCACCAGTACTACTTTGTACTACAAAGGTTTCACTAAACATTTCCCTGTACTACTTTGTACTACAAAGCTTGCACACAGTACTTCCCAGTACTACTTTGTACCGCAAAGCTTGCACAAAGCACTTCCATGTACTAGTTTGTACTACAAAGCTTGCACAAAGCACGTCCCGGTACTACTAGTACTACTTTGTACTACAAAGCTTGCACAAAGCACTTCCCTTTGTACTAGCAAGCTTGTTACACAACACTTCCCAAATTACATCAAGCTTTGACACACAGCAAGCTTTTACACACAGCAAGCCTTTACTGCACAAAGAACGCGTTAACAGTTAACACACAGCAAGCTTTTACGCAGACAAGCTTTTACACAAAGAAAGCTTTTACACACAGAAAGCTTTTACACACAGAAAGCTTTACGCACAGCAAGCTTTTACACACGCAGCCGCGGCGCCAAGCAACCTTCAAGCAGCCATTACACTGCGTTTTGCAGCATCACGTGGCAACACTCTACGTACATGGCAACAAAACGTGACACCAATCATGCAGCCATTCCACTGCGATCTGCAACCACAGCTTCGAAATTACCCTCTAACTACACTACGCACACACGAACAACCACTCGCTGCAGAACACAGAGGAGGAACCGATTCGACAATGAAACGACCGCAGCCGTAACCGCTGCACACACGAGGTGCCTTTCATTGCCGCCTGCAGCCACTCTACACGGAATTAAAGGACCAGATAATAACCCCACAAGTCAACTTCTTTCAATAATGAGCAACAAATGTTGTAGCGGGACGGGGAAGGAAGGAAAGACAAAGGAGGTGGCGGAGGATCGAGAAGCAAAAAACATTGTATGTGAAGAGTTGTGTGTGATAAAGTTGTGTGTGAAAGATGTGTGTCACACAATTATGTGTGTGAAAGATCTCGGCTATAGGACATGAAGCAAGCAATGATCAAAGCCACCCCCTGCGGAACATCAGCCTGAGTCATGAAAGGTCTGCAGCACAGCCTTGGGCTAGTTTTGCCCTACAGTCTACCAAGTAAAAACTATTACGTCCAGCCTTGAACGACGATGACATGGCCGCGCTCGAGGACGGATCGCCCTGAAAGGCTTTGACTTACATAAGTTTAGCGACATACAACAAAAGTTTCCGAAATCGAGGCACCTGCTGCGTAACATCAGCCTGAGTCATGACATGTCAGACGTCCAGCCTTGCACCAGCTCTGCCAGAGCCACCAGAGCCAGCCCAGTGCCATAAGTGGCCACGCCTGACACACAAATGCTACGTCCATCTCTCCAAGCGCCACGCCGACCAAGGGGGAACAAAGGGCGCCACCAGAGCCAGCTTTCGGCCATAAGTGCAACGCCCGCAGCACAGCCTTGGGCTAGTTCTGCCCTACAGTCTACCAAGTAAAAACTATTACGTCCAGCCTTGAACGACGATGACATGGCCGCGCTCGAGGACGGATCGCCCTGAAAGGCTTTGACTTACATAAGTTTAGCGACATACAACAAAAGTTTCCGAAATCGAGGCACCTGCTGCGTAACATCAGCCTGAGTCATGACATGTCAGACGTCCAGCCTTGCACCAGCTCTGCCAGAGCCACCAGAGCCAGCCCAGTGCCATAAGTGGCCACGCCTGCCACGCAAAACGAAGGTTGCTGTGAGCAAGTGCCACGCCGGCCATGCCAAAGTGATGGATGAGCCTGCGGAGAAACAAGGTTGAATGAATCAATCGCAATCGGAAAGCTTGTTGGCACAAGGAAAATCAGCCCAACTGTCGTGAACCAAACGCTCCACAGCCATGCCTGTCCTATGCTCACGGGCTCGGAACGGTACCTGTGCACAAGGCAAATGCAGCTGATGTCACAAGGCAGCGTCATCCCTGTGTCAAGACAACGTTTTTTGGGACATCGGCTAACTCATGGGCACCTGGCACTCACACACGGGGAGAATTGAACTCAAAGAAAGGTGAAGGAAAACTTTTCGAACAGTCTGAAACGACAAGTTTCGGTGCTCGATATGACAACGCGAAACAGCGCGAAACATGAACTGATTTCAAGCTAGGCACTCACACACGGCACAAATATGCACCGGTCTTTTTTGTCAGCGCCAAGGTTATCTGCGGCGCACGCGATTTCTTCCCACCTTGAGTCAAAATCCAAAGTTGTCGATTCACGGTACGTCTGGATGACCGATGCCTAGCTTTGCTGCAATGCCGGCAACGTCGATGAACGATTTTTCAGTTTCGTGCTGGTCCCAGAGAAACTCGTGCAGGTCGCAGACAAACCCTTCCAAGTTTCTCTGCGACCTGCACGAGTTTGTCTGCAACCTGGGTGGCCTTGTCTGCAGTCTGAGCACATTGGCGGTGATCTGTTCGACGTTTGCGTTGCACCCCTGTGATTATAATTGCAAAGCGTCCAAGCCGCGAGCACAAAGTCTTGGCTGACACAGAACGAGACGGTGCTGCAACCACAGCTGCTACATGCAGGAGCATCAGCCACAGGCGTGCTCTAATCGAAAACAATACAGATGGTTCAGTCTTCCGACCGTGGCATACCAGATGCAATGGGTGCACATTAACCCATGTGTTCAGAATGCTTTTGAAGTATCAAAGCCATGCTTTTTTGGGACACCGGACAACTCATGGGCCCCCTCATGGGCCCCTGGCAATCACACACGGGGAGGTATGGGACCCAAAGACAGGTGTGAAGGAAAACTACTCGGAAGGTCTGAAACGACGAGCTCATTGGCGCTCACATACGGCACAGGCGTCCACGCGCTGAAGCGTCACTCGATAGTAGGTCTGCACAGCTACTGTAGTACGAGGACAAATGGATCGTAGTTGGGTCTGGTCTGTGGGAAATGCAAGTATTAATGCAACTTCACTGTCCATGCGACACTCACCGTCTCAAATTTCTGCTCCGGTGGCCTCTTTCCACGTTAGGGCAAAGCGACCAGATCAGAAACACACGATCTTGCAGGAAGTTTCGGTCAAACATGCCAAAAAGTAAAAGCAAGACATGCCAGAATGGCTGGTGCTGCAAAACATGCCTCAAACATGGCTTGCAAGAACACATAGCGATGCATGGCTCCCACCAAGCATCTCTGTATAAAACATGCCAGAAAATCGTGCACAAAGTCGGTCAAACATGCCAAAAAGTAAGACATGCCAGAATGGCTGCTGCTGCAAAACATGGCTCGAACATGGCTTGCAATAACACAAAGCTACGCAGCGACGCATGGCTCTGTAAAAGTGCCAGAAGTCGTAACATGCCAAAAAGTAAGACCCTCATGCCAGAAGACATGGATCAAACATGGCTTGCAAATAATGCTAAGCATGGCTCGCACCAAGCGTCTCTGTAAACATGCCAGAATGTTTTGCCAAAAGTTTCCGTCAAACATTGCCAGACATGCCACACAAAACGATGGTCGATCACACGCCAAGTGCCACGCCTGCCACACGAAACGACAGTGATGTCGTGAAGTGCCACGCCTGCCACGCAAAACGAAGGTGACCAAGCGCGCCACCGGAGCCAGCCCAGTGTCATAAGTGCCACGCGCGGCCAGGCAAAGTGCAGGTAGATGTCGCCAAGATGGTGTGTGAAAGATGGTGTGTGACAAAGTTGTGTGTGAAAGATGGTGTGTGACAAAGTTGTGTGTGAAAGAGAGTGTGTGACAAAGTTGTGTGAAAGATGGTGTGTGACAAAGTTATGTGTGTAAGATGGTATGGGACAAAGTTGTGTGTGAAAGATGTGTGAAAGATGGTGTGTGTGTGTGTGGGACAAAGTTGTGTGTGAAAGATGGTGTGTGACAAAGTTATGTGTGAAAGAGAGTGTGTGACAAAGTTGTGTGAGAAAGATGGTGTGTGACAAAGTTGTGTGCGTGAAAGAAAGTGTGTGTGTGACAAAGTTGTGTGTGAAAGATGGTGTGTGACAAAGTTGCGGAGGCGGCGGCGGAGGCGGCGGCGGAGGCGGACGGGACGGATACAGAATCAAAAACAAGAACCCCACACAAAGATGTGGGGACAAACACAAGGTTTCGATTTCGTGCTCCGGCTTCCTCCCCAACACCCATGCAAGTGTCACGCAGCGATTATATTGCGTTTTGCAGCATCACGTCTCTTACCTGCATGTCTCGACACACATGACAACAAGACGTAACAGCAATCATGCAGCCATTACACTGCGATCTGCGGTCAGAGATTCAACAAGCGCATAGAACTACGCACACATGAGCAAACACTCGCTGCAGAACACAGAGGAGGAACCGATTCGACGATGAAACGACCGCAGCCGCAACAGCCGCACACACGAGGTACCTTTCATCGCTGCCTGCAGCCACTTTACACGGAAAAACACAAGGTTTCGTGCTCCGGCTTCCTCCCCAACACAAGCCCCATGCAACAGTCACGCAGCCATCCGTAACTCGGAAGATTGCTTCCCAACTTCCATTGAATATTGGATTTCCTTGCCATGTTTGAGGCTAAATTTCCGGTTTCATCAAAACTTCATAGGTTGCCCGTGCCTAGCATCCGCACGCAGGAGGTTTCCGACTGTTGGGGCAGCTCAGACACCACGGTGGTGTGATGGATATCAAAGCAGGTGCCAAACTTCTCAGCCTCGTGGGATGCTGATGATGCTGGATATTCCATGGGATCTCATTTTTTAGGAAAATGGGCATGAAATAAGAAGGACAGTAACCTGAGGATTTATGCCAAAAAAAACTTATGAATCGCAAAAATGAGGATTACAGCAACCTGTGGATTTCCAAGTTCTTCCTCAAAAGTTTCAGACAATCGCACATTTATTACAATTGTTATTGATCAAATATTTAGCCAGCAGCCAACAGTTTCCCAATCGGAAATTGGTTCAAAAATGGTGTGGTGCAAAATAAAAACCTCCACTCCGAGCCTATCATCGGCCCTACAGTCTGACCCATGAAAAGAATCGTCCCTGCCCCCTCTTGGTTCATGGGGCAAAGGCGTTTGCCCACATCTCCTCCTTGCTCGCGACGTCCGCATGCATGTCATCGGGCGTCACCACCAGCAACTGGCGAGTGTGCACCGACAACCAATCTTTCATGACCTGTAGCATCACCGGAACGAAGAGACATGTGGCTAGTCTGGGGATGCTCACTGGGATACATTAATTATATATATATAAACAAAGGCCAGTATACTATTTGGGTGTGTCCGGAAATGGGGTTCATTTCTCCAAATGGCAACTTTAACTAGGGATGATCAACCAGGAGATTTAGGGGTACCTATTTTCAGACAACCCCTATTGTGGAAACAATATCCCTTGGGAAGTGGAAATACTCCAAAATGACAACATGTGCATCAACACAAGGACAAGAAGACATGGGGCTATAATCATTGGAGCGTATTTCATGATACAACTACAATTGCACCTAGTATTGAAATTGGGGCTACCAAGCATGCCTTCAATGTATGTACGAGCGAGTATATATATATATGTGTGTATTTAGATATTTCTGTAAAGTTATGTATGTATGTCTCATTGATGTCTGGGGCCTGGGGTAGAATGGTAGGCATCATTGAGGCATCAATAGCGACAATATCAACGGCAAACAACAGAAGGTCTAGGAATTGATGCATACATGCATGTAAACAAAAAATTAAGGTATGAACGCAATCTATAGTGGGTATCATGGTCCCACATCGGCATCATTACAATATCGTTACCAAAGTCTGAAACAGGCTTTGGGAGTACCCGCCCTCCAGCAAACTAACATAGACATGGGAAATCCACCATGTGTAATTAGATGATTTCCAGGAAATCATGTTCTATGGTTATCGGAGGGTATGATCCAGCAACCATGGAAGTGGCATGCAAATATGGTTGAACAATGTTGAACATCGACAAGAATGAATAGTTTGAAACCACCGACCAACTTTATGTGCGCTTGTCTTGGAATGGGATATACCGTACAAGTCTACTGCATTGAAATAGGGAGGCGGATGATCCCACGATCGCCTGCAAGCTGTACGCAAATTTGTTGTTCCAGGCCAAACCTTTCGCATTGGTGCCTGAAGATGAATGACAATCCTCAGCACAGCGAACAGCGAAGCAATTCAATGAGTGACATGGGCATGCAACCCATGATGGATATAGTTGTATCTTGGATGTTCAAAGCGGAACATGGCCAACACCTGTGGTTGCCAGGGCCTTTTACAAGCTTTGAGCCATACCCATACTTGCTGGCTAAATCACATGATATTCCATTCTTGAATTTCCATCTCCTCACATTCAGCGATCGAAAATACCCAACTGTGTAGTGCCAGCATCCATGGCCCCGAAGAAACTGCCGAGCCGTTGCCAAGCAACATACAGGGTGGTTGGCTCCCCTATGCCATCTCGAATGCAAACATCTGGGAAGAAGAAGCGAATTCCGAAATTCAACTGCTCCAAGTAGTTCCTGGTTGCTTAAAGTCTTAGAGCGGAGAAGAGCCCTTCCCAACACCAACGGGCCCACGGGCTCTATGGGCCCTACAGGCCCGGGCCCGGGCCCTTACGGGCCTTACGGGCCCTTATCTACGGGCTTTACGGGCCCTACGGGCGTTACGGGCCTTGGGGTTTCAGGTCTCATGGAATGGAAGTACAAGAGGGCATGATACCTGAACGGGATGAGGAGGTTCAAACCTCACAGCTCTTTAGACAGGACTGGAATACAGATGACTTCCCGTAAAAATAGTGTGCATTCTTGCTGCTGCACTCTTGGCTTTCCAACATAACTTCTGGCTACATTCCTGCTGCTACGCTCTTGGCTTTGCAATATAGCTCCCTATGCTATGTTTGTTCTTGCTACGCTCTTGACTTTCAAACACAATTTCCTACCAGTAGTACCGCACAAGGCGGTGGAGGAAGTTTTCAAAGATAGGACACTATAGGAGAGGTGCGTTGTTGTGATGCATGGATGGCAGAGCGAATCCACTGATGGACCGAAAGGTCGTTGGAGCTGTTTTTTTTGGAGTAGTTGCAGTGGTTGCAAACACAACTGCTGGATGTAGTGTGGTGTAGTGCAGCTGTAGTTGTAGTTGTAGTGTAGTGGAGTTGTAGTTTCGTGTAGTGTAATCAGCGTAGTGAAGTTGCAGTTGTAGTTGTGGCCCGGTGTAATGAGTGCAGTGTAATGTGATGTATTGTAGTGTGCTTTAGCGTTGTGTGCTGTAGCGTAGTCTAGTGTAGTGTAATGAGCTGTAGCGTTGTGTGCTGTAGTGTTGTGTGCTGTAGTGTAGTCTAGTGTAGTGTAGTCTGGTGTAGTGTAGTGTAAAGCAGTGTAGTTGTAGTTGTAGTTCGTGTAGTGTAGTGTAGCGTAGTGTAGTGTAGCGTAGTGTAGTGTAATTAGTGTAGCGTAATGTAGTGTAGTTGCAATCGTAGTTGTAGCTGTAGATGGAGTTGTAGTTGTAGCGGAGTGTAATCAGTGTAACGTAGCGTTGTTTAATGTAGTGTAGTGTAGTTGTAGTTGTAGCCTAGTGTAGTGTAATGTAATTAGTGTGGTGTAGCGTAATGTAGCTGTAGTTGTAGTTGTAGCTGTAGCTGTAGTAGCGCAGTGTAGTGCAAGTAGTGTAGTGTAATTAGTGTAGCGTATTGTAGTCTAGTCTAGTGTAATTAGTGTACTGTAGCGTAGTATATCTCTTTTTGCAATTGCAGTTGTAGTGGTAGTGTAGTGTGGTTGTAGTTGTAGCTGCAGTTGTAGTTGCAGTTGTAGTTGTCTATCTATCTATCTAGCTAGCGAGCTATCTAGCTATTTATCTATCTATCTATCTATCTATCTATCTATCTATCTATCTATCTATCTATCTATCTCTCGATCTATCCAATCTATCTAATCTATCTAATCTAATCTAATCAAACCTAATCAAATCAAATCTAATCTATCTATCTATCTAGCTTTCTATCTATCTATCTATCTAACTATCTATCTATCTATCTATCTATCTATCTACCTGATCTATCTGATCTATCTGATCTATCCAATCTATCTAATCTATCTAATCGATCTGATCTATCTAATAAGCTTCTATCTTCTATCGTCTAATCTACTCTTTCTATCTAGTCTATCCTCTAGCTATCTTTCTATCTATATCTATCTAAATCTATATCTATCTATCTATCTACTATCTTTTCTTCTCTCTACTCGACCCTACTCTACTCACTAAATCTAGTCTTTCTGTCCAGGCTAATCTTCTATCTAATCGATCTAATCGATCTAATCGATCTAATCGATCTAATCGATCTAATCGATCTAATCGATCTAATCGATCTATCTATCTATCTATCTATCTATCTATCTATCTATCTATCTATCTATCTATCTATCTATCTATCTATCTATCTATCTATCTATCTATCTATCTATCTATCATCCATCTATCTATCTATCTATCTATCTATCTATCTATCTAATCTATCTATCTATCTATCTATCTATCTATCTATCTATCTATCTATCTATCTATCTATCTATCTATCTATCTATCTATCTATCTATCTATCCTATCTATCGATCTATCTATCTATCTATCTATCTACGACTATCGTCTAATCTATCTAGATCTAATCTATCTAATCTAATCTCATCTAATTCTATCTAATCTATCTAATCTATCGAATCTGTCCGAATCGACTAATCTATCTAACTATCTAATCTATCGAAATTTATAGCTAATCGATCTGAATCTATCTGATCTATCTATCTGATCTATCTATCTGATCTATCTATCTGATCTATCTATCTGATCTATCTATCTGATCTATCTAATCTATCTATCTGATCTATCTAATCTATCTAATCTATCTAATCTATCTAATCTATCTAATCTATCTAATCTATCTAATCTATCTAATCTATCTAATCTATCTAATCTATCTAATCTATCTAATCTATCTAATCTATCTAAGCTATCTAATCTATCTAATCTATCTAATCTATCTAATCTATCTAATCTATCTAATCTATCTAATCTATCTAATCTATCTATCTATCTATCTATCTATTTATCTGTCTTTTTGCAAGTTTGAAAACAAGGAATTCTGCGAGACTTCCTCAATTTTTGAACTTGACAACGTCAAAATCGAAGCAATTCTGCGAGACTTCCTCATTGTTCGAAGGTGTCAACATCAAAAACGAAGCAATTCTGCGAGACTTCCTTCAATAAGGAAGTCGAGTGCAGAGCTGACGGCCTCGTACCAATGCGTTTTGCGATTTGTTTCGGTCTACGTCTCTAAAGTATTGCGCCTGCCACGATAAAGTGATGCCAGGTCATACAAAGTGCTGCACCTGTCACACAAAATCATCTTCCCAAAACTGAAGATCTGATGCTCCAAAACTCAACCCTCTCAGGAAATCAGCGCCCTGACCTCTAAACATCTCTGATGCACATGTCTCTTGCACTGCGCCTGCCACGCGAAATGCATCTGTCCAGATCCTCTTCAAATGTCCCACGCCTGCCATCGTTCCTGGAAATGCTACAAACCCCTCACGTTTTGCTCACTTTTGAGAAGGTGCACAATCCCTTGCGCCTGCCACGCGAAACAACATCTGAACGTCCAAAAGTGCTCCGAACCCCGTTAGTTTTTTAGAAATGCGCTTGGCGCCACAACAGCATGCACTTTTCGACATCTCAACTTCCAAAAGTGGTCCTAGAATGGTGTGTTTCGTACATTTTGACTTGGAAATGTGCTTTGCACCACAACAACGTGCACTTTTTCGACATCGCAACTTCCAAAGTGCTCCGACATTGGTGTGTTTTGTACGTTTTGACTTCGAAATGTGCTTAGCGCCACAACGGCGTGCTCTTTTTCGACATCTCAACTTTAAAAGTGCTCCGAAGCTGCGGTGTTTTGTGCAGTTTGACTTCGAAATCTGCTTCGCACCGCAGCGGCGTGCAATTTTTCATCTCTCATCTGGCCAGATGGCTCCGCACCCGCCGGTTTAGCGAGCCTACTTTTCGACCCGCCGGAGCCACAATCATTGGAAAAACACCGCGTTTCGCGACTTTTCTACCTTTTCGCGCACCTGCATCTTCTTTCTTTTGACTGTTTCTCTTCTCTGATCTTCTCTCTTCTTCTCTTCTCTGCTCTGACTCTTCCCACCTCTGCTTTTCCATCTGTCCATATTGTCGGAACTTTGACTTCTAAACTTCCTTCGACTACGTTCTTGCTGCTACGATCTTGGCTTTCCAACATAATTTGCGGCCACGTTCTTGCTGCTGCGCTCTTGGCTTTCCAAAATAACTTCCTGTTTGTTGTTGCTACGCTCTTGTTTTAAAATATCACTTCCTTCTACGTTCTTGCTGCTACACTCTTGGCTTTGCAACATAACTTCCTACTGCGTTCCTGCTGCTACACTCTTGGCTTTCTCACATTACTTCCTACTACGTTCTTGCTGCTTCGCTCTGGGCTTTCCAACATAACTTCCGACCACGTTTCTGCTGCTACGCTCTTGGCTTTCCACCATATCTTCGTCCTGCTATGTTTGTTGTTGCTACGCTGTTGACTTTCAAACACTACTTCCTACTACGTTGTTGCTGCTACGATCTTGGCTTTCCAACACAACTTCCTACTATGTTTGCTGTTGCTACGCTCTTCACTGTCTAGCATTACCTCCTTTGATTCCAGCTCAGCCTGGGCACGTAGGACCCGAACATAAGGAATGTCAGTTGCTGGAGTTCACTCGAAGAAAGTAATTTTGCCACACTTCGCTGCAAAGTGGAACTTTCTGGTGGCTGTTTCATGGATGATTGCATTGCGGGCTCTGCGGGCGTTACGGGCCTTGCGGGACAGCCTTATAAGGGCCCTTACGGTCCACTTACGGGCTCTACGGGCCAACGAGCCCTTCGGGTACGGGGAGGACTCGACCCGTAAAACAGGCGGCAATCACCAATAAAGGAAACATGAATAACCGGAAATGAAGCTAGTATGATAATATATATATATGTATATATCATATCTATAAATGTGTATAAAGAGAATGGCATAGTATAGTATTTATCAACAAATTCTACATATCCATGTGATACATAAATGCATAGAGTACATACATATATTATTTGATTTCATCATTTTCATCTACATATCATCCCCATAGCCATTGCAAGCAACTAAGTAGGTATCTTAAAGAATCAGAGTGGAGATTAGAGTATAAGGCTTTGTCAGTGAATTGCCCCTCCTGAAGTGCGTTCAGAAAATTACCAGCACAAAGTCTTTCTTAAGTTACAGGAAACCAAGGGAGGCTACGGACGAAATGAGGAATGAGGATATGTGGAAGTTGGATCTTTATTTCTCATAGATGCAGTTTGATAGGCCAAGGTAGGGGTTCTACCTAATAAACAATGGAGTTGGACAAACGAAACTTCGTATTCTCCGACTCGCTGTCCAGGAAAAGGTTGATTTGAACCAACAAGAACCGCAATTCAATTCAAACAACGAAACAACGCTCTTTACACAAACACAAACGGGCTGCTTGATTACCAAAATGGGGACGCACATAGACATCCAAACAAACACCGTGAAGTCTCAGCCTATCACAAAAAGACTGTGTAATGTATATATATATAGTGACATATATATTTATATATAGTGACATTTATATTTATTATATATATATGTTGTACAAGTATAGACACAGTATGTACGTATATACACACATATATATATATGCAATATATGTATATATATGACTTGCATGCGTATATAATATGTAAATATGTGCATATTATAATTCTATACTTTTTTAATGCATGTGTACGCACATATTGGAAAACATATCTACGTCATTTTGGATCATCTTCACAAGTGGCCGAAGCCTCCAAATAGAAAATGGGGTGGACATGGGCCATTGGATCCATCTGATCCAAACAATCCCCGATGTGTGGGGTATGATGGCAGGTGTATACCCATACCTGGGATATCTAATTTCATAGCTCCTCTCATGGTTCACACTTGGGGACGGTTTACGGCACTGTGGATCAACATCATTAAACATCCATGCATGTTTCTCAAGGAATTTGATTTGAGACAGCTCTCTGTGCAGCAAAAGGTCATGTGATGGCAGTCATAGTAACAACTCAAGATGGCGTTCACGTCGACTAGTGGAATGTTGTCCTGCATCGCCAGTGAGGTGGGCACAATTTACAACCCAAAGGATCACACATTGGCAGAATTGATCCCTAGCAAGTCATTAATCTTTTACTTTGAAAGCAAGAAAGCTGACCCTAAATTGGCTCAGTCCCGCCCCTTACCCTCGGGTGTCTGCATCATTGCTTGGGAAGAAAATCCGCCACATCATCTGGCACCATTTACTTGTTTCTAGAGCCCTGGACTCAAAAGACATTATCACCACTGACCACTGACTGTCGTCGTGATCGTCATGGTCACCGTGATCCTCATCCTCATCGTCCTCCCCTCCATCTTTATTGCCAGCGCTATCGTTCTCATCGTCAACATCACAATCATCTTAATCATAAAATGTTTTTGGATGTTCTTAGTCATTTGAATCATCGCCATCATCACAATCATGGCAATCATTGCCATACGTTAAGTGTTGGCTATGTCTATGTGTATGATGGTATGTTTTTCTGTAGCATCACCTTATTAATCGCATTAAACATCTCGATAAATTGCAGACATCATTGCCGCCGTCAACATCACCATCCCATCCTGATCCCAAGCATCTCATCACGGGTCACTCTTGAGATTCCCTGTAGCTACCGCTACTGTATCACCATTGAAAAGGCGTCAGCATCACCAGTTTTGCAGGTGATCCCCGATGTTGTTTCATATCTCCAAGGTGAGAAGGAGGCAAACCCAAAAAAAACTAAGCAAATCCCCAATGGTTTACTCGAACTGGGTTGGAAATTTGACCATCTATGGCATGAGATAGGGCAGTCCATTTCAACCATACAGACAAGCGGGCACTACCTGGTGTATACGTGACAAATATGTATGTATATATATATATTATTAATTATTGTATTATAAATATATATATATATCCACATTGCATATTAATACGCACATATATAATCATGTATATATATATATTACATATATTTACATATTATGTGTGTATAGCAACTTCAAAAAACTAGAAAAATAATGCGTGTTGCTAAAATATGTTCTTTATTTTTTGGAGTTACGTGTGCTATGAATATGTTGTATATAACTACATGTACATATATATATATATATGTGGCCCATCACATCCCATTGAGAATGGGTTAATTGTCAACAAAAATTAAATAATGAAAAACCAAGTCAGTTACAGTAATTGCCAAATAAACAGGGTTGCTGCCAATAGCCATCCACATACATGAAAAAAATCGGTAGATGAAAAGGTAAAACTATCAATGTTTCTCCAATGGTTATCATTGACATCGAACTGGTTGGAGCAAAACAACCCTGTTTCTGTTGGGTTATCGGATCCTTTATTGGTTGGATCCTTTATTGGTTGGATCCTTTATTGGTTGGATCCATATGGTTGAAACCTTGTTTGTTTTTGTAGCTATATCTGCAAACATCGGCATGGTGGATCATTCAATTTTGGTTGTTTGTCATAGGGAACAAAAACCCAACACAATTTCCACCGGTATTTGGTATATTTACTGAAGGCTACCTTTGAAATTTGTTGGAGAAAAAATACCCTGATGGCTTTACTGGGCGAAAACAACCCGACTCCTCGATAATCTCTGGAATGTTCAAGGAGAAAGAACCCGAGTTGTGCGTCCCGGGGAAGGTGAACTGGTTGAAGGGTAACCTTCGCCGACACGACGCGGAACACCGCGGATGGGGATAGAACTTGTGGAGCCTCATCCCAGTGGTACCTTTGGTGGTTTCTAAGTAGCTGAACCCCTAGGGTTGATGGTATTACGATCTAGTTGAACACACACAAATTATAACTAACGTAGGTGGGTTATAAACTGCCAGATAGTGCCCGGCACGCGCCGGGCGGAAGTTTCGAAAATAGGAAACGACTAAAAGGAAATCAATGGCCTGTAGGAATGTTTTTGAACTGCAGACGCTATGAGCAGTTGAAGTTGTGAGGTGCACATCAGAACAAATGAGGAAGTGGCGGTCGACATGCCAATGACATGACATGAAAGGATCCCGTCACAACTGAGTGAGGGAACCAACGAACCAATAAACCGATGAAGTAATGAATCAACGAATCAGTTTAACAATGAACCAATGAAGCAACGAAGCAAGGACCCAATGAATCAACCAACCAGTGAACCAATGAATCAGTGAATCGGTGAATCAATGAACCAATGAATCAGCGAATCAATGACTGAATGAAGTGCTGAGACGAGAAGGTGAATCAATGAATCAGCAGTGAATCGTGAATCAGTGAATCTAAGCAATGAACTGGTGAATCAATGAAACGATGATACAGTAAATCAATCATTCAGTGAATAGGTGATTCGGTGAATCAATGATTCGATGCACGAGTGAGCCTGTGAGCCGATCAATCAATAAATCAATGACTGAATGAATGATTGAGTCGATGAACCAATGAATCAATGAACCAGTGGCTCAATGAATCAAAGAACCACTGATCCAGTGAATCTATAACCAGTGAACCAATGAACCAATGAATCAGTGAATCATTGAACCAGTGAATCAGTGAATCAATGCACCAATGAATGAAGGGATGGATGGATGCATGAATTAATGGATGGGTGAGCGAGCTACTTTCCTTTGTTGAGCTACTTCTTCACGGAGCGACATCTTCGCTGAGGCACGTCTTCTCCAGCTACTTCTGCGGCCACTTGTCTGGGCTACTTCTGTTCTGACCTGCCTCCCTGCTAACTTTTTTGTAGCCCGCTTCTTCTCTTCACGCGCCTGTTACAATGCGTTTAGCAGCCTCCAGCTGCAATGCCGCATAGCACAAGAGTAGCTAGTATGGTGAAGAACTACCTTTCGCGCAGCTGTTACAATGCGTTTAGCAACCTCCAGCTGTTGCAGCTGCAATCCCGGTTGCCAGGAGCGCCGCAGCATCACTCATGCTTTGCTGCCCGCAGCCTTGCCAATGCGTTTTCTCACAGCCGGTTGCAAACCCGCGAAGCAGGAACGTCACACTAAATCGACCAACGTACGCGCAGCGCTGACAATGGAGACGATTCCGCGTTACTCCGAACATGCCAGTTTTTTACCTGTGTTATATGCAATCGACCTCTCGCTATTCCAGTGCGCATTTTTCTGGCCTCATCTTCCAGAAGTGCTCCGACGCCTTAATTTTATTGAAATTTTGAAGTGCAAATCGAGCTCTTGCCACAGTCCTGTGCACTTTTTGTCGGCAACTTTCCCAGATCGAGCCGCGAACCCGCGGAAATACTTGGGCGACCCCAGGAGCCACACTACCCAAAAAAGACAGGTTTCGCGCCCGAGAGTCTTCTCACCCGTGAACTCACACGCTTCCGAACTGTTACACTTCCCAACTGCTTGATGATGAGTGGTTGACATGATGATGTGGTTGAGATGATGATGGGGTCGACATGATGATGTGGTTGACATGATGGTGGGAATGCTAACCATATCCATCGTCTGTAACTCGGAAGTTTTCTAACTAAACTTCCTTTGATAACTAATTTAGGTGGGTTTAAATCATTCTAGGGTTAGATAGGTTAGAAACCAACTGCACCATCTTAATTGAGCCGTGCCTGCAAAACCCATGGTAGATTCAACCATCAAATGTGCCGTCCCGCCGTCCCGATCTCTGCGTCCGAGCATCATTTATATCGTCATATCCCACCATGGCACCGGTAAATCCCGTATTGAAATGGGTATTTAAATGGGAAAAATACCTATTTAAATGGGAAAAATGCCCATTTATTAATGCTGTGATATAGCTATTCTCATTTTAGAAAAATACCTAATTAATAATCCTCAATTAATTAATACCTATTTATGGTGTGATATTTTCCGTTACAATCATTTATTGCCCCTCATTGTATATTCTCATCAAACCCAAAAGACGTCTGATATCCCGCATTTATTTTGCGAATTCCCTCCCCTACATGTTCCAGTCACGGTCAAACCAGTTTACCCAGTGCCGTATCAACTGCATCCTCATTTTTGTCTAAATAAAAGGCCGCGTTGGTTAGCTGTCTTACCATTGTTGATAGCAAAAACTAGTGTCCTGGTGTAGTTGGTGATATCTCAATTCTATCCAGATTCAAGATTTCCCGCTATCCCAATGATGATGATCATTTGCCCTGAGATCATTCGCTCGCCAAGCAGCATACAAAATGACGCATGTCCATTGCACGCTTCGACACCCACAATCGACGAAAAAACCACGAGGACCGCACCGGCAGCCGCGGCCAACGCCATGGCGCGTTCGCTCCGTCGCTCCGCGGTCGGTCGTGATGGAAATGGTGTAAGATGTAAGTTGTAACACCCTAATCAGATACATGGGATATATATATGTGTGTGGATATAGGGGCTTATGTCATATAGATGATACATATTTATATACATTTGGGTTTTGGCGTCAGAAACCTGCTGTACTTGTCCTGTTATTTTTGTTGACGACTTCAATCATCAAACGGAAAATCACATCTAAATGATTAAGCTCTATATAAAGTTTATTCCACTTTCACATGCAGACGGATGGTTGATGCGTTTATCCCATGGAGGCTTGTTGGGCGGCTTGGGATGTTTCGACCTGTTCCCGATGCGCGGCATCCCGTTACAGTGTTGATCCATCCCCATGTCCGTCCGGTTTTGGAGGACTTGGAATCACCGAAGTAACCATCGAAAAGCGTTTGGAATTTTCATGAATTTTGCAATTCTTCACCACTAGTGCTTTGGGTTGGTGGGAATTTCAGTGGGAATGCGAAGGATTTTTTTTGGGAAATGCTGGGAATAGTTAACCTTTCACAAGCAGATCAAAAAACATTCCAAACAACAAACACACAGGAAATGCACCCCAAACAGTGGGGCATCGCCAGTAAAACCATGTGCCACTGCAAGAATTTTGGGGCTGCCTCCTTCAGAAGAGTCATGAACCAACAGGATCATCAAATGAATCTTCAGTATTCACGGGCATCGCCGGTGGGCATACCCCTATAATATATTATTATATATCATGTATATGTAAATTTATTGTATATATATATATACACCTATATAAACCTATATAACAATATGGAATATGTCAATCATATTCATAACATAACATGGATATCATAGCAAGATACGACCATCATTATGACGCTATTCAGAAATCATCACGTAACGATCACGTGCCTTTTTTCGATGGCCCCAGATTTTTGGAAAGCCTGGGATCTGGGCCCATCATCTCTGCATACTGGGCTGCCTGCTGCAGGGGTTTTTTCGCAAACACCGAAGTTGCTGGAAAAACCATAGAAATAGTGGATTTACCCATTGAAAATGGTGGATCTTTCCATAGTTATGGGTATCTTTTGGCTAGATCTTAACTGGTTGGTGATGCAATAACCATTTTAACCATCTTGAAAAATGATGGAGTGAGTTCGTCAATGGGCTTGGGATGACATCCCACTAATATGAAATGGAAAATAATCCATTCATGTTCCAAACCACCAACCAGTCAACAGTTTGTTGCTACAAAGGTTCCAACAATCATTTCATGTCATGTCCATTCAACTGATCAAGATTTAAGAATCATGGATCATGGGAATGATCAGAACTGGTTGGTGGTTGGGCCACCCTTTTGAAACATATGCTCAAGTCAGTTGGGATGATGACATTCCCAACTGTTTCTGGAAAGTCAAAAAAAATCCATGGTTCCTGGCACCACCAACCAGTATATATTTAACTATATAATGTTATATAACTATACTATAGTTGGTTAGATATCCCAAAAAATATCCCCATGTTATATCCCCATGTTCCAGTCACCACCAACCAGTGATGGTCGTTGGACCGGCATGGACAAGCGCCATATTTTTTTGCTCCTGACCCGATCTGACAACATCAAACCGTCGGGGTTTCAACTTGAGCGCTGGAGAATGGTTAATGATTAATGGAAAATCTATGGTTAATGGAAAATCTATGGTTAATGGAAAATCTATGATTAATGGAAAATCTATGGTTAATGGAAAATCTATGGTTCCAGCAAAGCCACAAAAAAAGCCGTTTTATGCTACTTCCATCTATAGATAGTAACTTCCATGGACAAAAAATCTACGAAAAAACTGACTTCCAGTACATGGAACCATGAAAATATTCTGAAGCCTGCAACTAGAATTAACCCGTTCCACTGGATGTTTCTCCGGGTCTGAGCCCATGGACCCCATGAAAGCATGTGGCTATAAGGCAACCCTGGGTTAAAACATGTTAAAACCCTATTCCTTTTTTCATGGACACAAGGCCCCATTATCCCATTCCTCTGGTATATTTTCTTCATGCCGTGCCTGGCCTCATTTCTCTCTCCCGGCAGTTGCAAACCGTTCACGAAGCAAAAGACCTGCCGCGGTCATGTTCATTTCTCGCCCCATGGCACCTGGTTGTTGGGCAAATCCAACAAACCTTTGAAACATATCCCATGACGGATCCATGGTGCTGGGAGAAATATGCTAACAAAAATGGGGTATATTGATGGTAAATGTTAGCATATATGTACCAGCACCATGGATCCGTCATGGGATATGTTTCAATTGGATGATGGCCTCCGCTTGACACGTCAACAAAAAGAAAATCAAGAAACTGGGATTATCCCATTTGACATCCTATGACCTCCTACAATATTTGTTGGTGAAATTCCCAAAACGTAAGGTGGGGAGTGAATTAAGTTGGTGCGCCAAACCAGCGAAGCAATAAACCACCGGCTGATCATTTGTTTGCACGGGTGGAAGATCTCTGCCTTGATCGAACCAACCAAAATGAAGACGTGTAGGCAGACATGGGATGACATGGGCTTGTCCGGAAATCAGGTATGTCGGGTATGCAATGAAATGGCCATTTCAATAAAAAAAATAGTGATACACCTACTGTTACTCTATTTCAGACAAAACCATAAGGCCAAAGGACAAACGCGTGGTGCACGGACATGGATGGCAATACAGCAAAATAACTAGCCCTGTGGTTCCCTCTTCTGGGGTTCCCAATTTTCTGACTTAATTTCAAATCTCCTATTGTGATATATCCGATGAAGTATTCCCACGACATCCCCATTTCATCACTATTCTATCCCCTACGAAAAAGGCTAAGTCAGTCACTTCGATGATTTACCGATGAGCCTCTGGTCAACATACTTCGACGTTCTTAAAAAATGGTGGTTTTCCCATTAAAAATGGTGATTTTCTATAGCAAACTGTTAAATTACCAGAGGGTATTTGACTTATGTGATTTTTGATATAGCAAACTGTCACCATCTGGTTATGACTAACAGTTGCCATGGAAAGATCCACCATTTTGAAGAACGGTAAACCATCTATTCCGATTAGGGCCATGGCTTAACCATGGCGAACTGTAACAGTCATAACCAGAGGATAAATCACCAGGAGAATCACCAGAGGATAAGTCCCTGTTGTTTACGTAAACAATCCAGTAAAACATCACCATCGTGGCCTTGTGGTAGCTCCCCAGCGCACCACGGAAGTTCTGTTCCTCGGTGCCCGTTGCTGGGATGATGCAGTAACTATGTGTGTTTTTTATCCACATAAAATAGATAAACAAGAAACTCAGCCATGGCTAAAACATTTGTGTGGATAAAATTACTTTACTTCGTGTGATCCCCACCATGACATTTATACATTTTCTTACTGGCAAATCTTCTGGCATTCTATCTGACATATCTTCTGACATTCTATTTGGCATTCTATCTGGCATATCTTCTGGCATATGATCTGGCATATCTTCTGGCATTCTATCTGGCAAATCTTCTGGCATTCTATCTGGCATATCTTCTGGCACTCTATCTGACATATCTTCTGGCATTCAATCTGGCATTCTATCTGGCATATCTTCTGGCATATATTCTGACATATCTTCTGGCATTCTATCTGACATATCTTCTGGCATATATTCTGACATATCTTCTGGCATTCTTCTGGCATATCTTCTGGCATATCTTCTGGCATATCTATCTGGCATATCTTCTGGCATATTTTCTGGCATTCTATCTGGCAAATCTTCTGGCTTTCTATCTGGCATTCTATCTGGCATATCTTCTGGCATATTATCTGGCATTCTATCTGGCATATCTTCTGGCATATATTCTGACATATCTTCTGGCATTCTATCTGGCATTCTATTTGGCATTCTATCTGGCATATCTTCTGGCATATCTTCTGAGGTCCCATATCTCGCGGTTGAGGTCCGGCAGGGAACACTGGGCGTGGATGGTCGTGGTTGAGGTCCGGCAGGGAACACTGGGCGTGGATGGTCGTGGTTGAGGTCCGGCAGGGAACACTGGGCGTGGATGGTCGTGGTTGAGGTCCGGCAGAGAACACTGTGGATCGCGGGTCGCAGTTGGACGAGGACGACGAGGACGACGAGGACGACGAGGACGACGAGGACGACAAGGACGACGAGGAGGACGAGGAGGAGAGGAGGAGAGGAGGAGGAGGAGGACGAGGCAGGAGGAGGCAACTGACATAAAATCTATAACAACCCTCACCTGGCAGGTGGGGAAAAACTAAAAAAAATGGGTTATAGCAGGTTATAGTTATTTTATATTTGATGGCTAGAGTGAAAAAGAGGCAAACATCCATCAGCCATAGCCAGCCATAGCCCCAACGCTGGATCATCGATGTCACAGGCTCATAGCGATAAGTACTATGTAACTCATCTGTTGAGATATGGATATATAGATAATAAATGATAATAAGGAAAAATATCCGATCTCAACATTCTCAAACATCTACCATTACTTACCATTACTTGTTTGTTGAGATGTGTCCTCCTTCAGACAATATTTTGACTTCAACCTTCCCAAGCTTCGCCAGAAACATGATGTGAAAGAGATACACTGGGTATCACTGGGTACCATTGAACCCTTGATACCTTAAAACCCTTAACCCTCAAACTCTAAATCATTGCATATAAAAAATGTGTTTTTAAGCAACTTCTCCCAAAAAAAATATTGACCTTGCGCAAGACCGTCACTTGCTTTTTACATACATCTTACACTAATGACGACATGTGATTACACATGATTCAACGTGATTAACTAAACATTCTTGTGGTTCGTTTCGAATACGATCAACATATCCCCAAACATGAAATATATCCAGAACCCAAAAATCCATCTTCTCTCCGGAATCTCTGAATCGACCGACCGCTGGGTCCTTCGGACTTTGAAGCGATTGTTCCCTTCCTGTTTGAAGGCCTCCGCCTGTCCAATCTGCGAGAGTGCCTCCGCGTGCTTCACCGCGGTCATGACCTGAAAGAGAGAACGACCAAAAAACGTACGCCCAAGGCGACACAGATTGGGAAGAAACACAGGGAGGGACACATGGTCTCTTGGGGATATCATTTGGTGATATGTATATATATATATAATTATATATAATTATATATATATATCTTATGTATATATTATAACCGTCAATATGATATTTGGGTGTCTCTGGAAATGGTCAGTATACCCGGCTCAATATGGTATTTTATTTTGGGGAGAATGATGATGAATCACTAGATGAATCAATGGATGGGCTTCCCAACATCGCAAATTCAACTGGATACACCCACGAAACAACACCTTTTTTGGAGTCCAAAAAAAGCCAAATTTATACACCAGATATATCAAATATTATCAAATCTCGTTTGGTTTCTGGGCTTCCATTTTTTAGAGTATCTATCGGATATGCACCCTGAAAATCCATAGGGGTTCATCCATTTTGGGCAGGAAGAAACGCATGGTTTCCATGGACGATGGTTCCTGATAGGTACAGGTTCCAATATCAATTTGAAACCCTGGAAATCATTGGAAAACGAGGACCTTGAACACTTGGATGTGATCTACAATAATCTATATGATTTACTTTCAGGAAGGGCCTGGTTCATGCCTTAAACCCCTATCCAACAAAGACCTCTAAAAGGTGTAAAGCAAACCCAGAATCTCTCAAGCAGAATTTGCAGGTTTCCGCTAGCCACCCTTTTAAGAGGTATGTTTTAAAAGGAGCAGAACATGTTTGTCATGTTTTACATGTCTAAAAACGACATATCTTTTTTGCCCCCGTTGCGACCCCAAAATCCAGCCAGGTGTTTCGGTGATCAATCCATGAGTGGTTGGATCTCAGGTGGATCTTTTTCTGCGGCTCACTCTGCTGAAACACCAAATGGTACAAAGTCCAGCTCCCTGCTTAGATCAGCCATGGGCTTTGTAAACTGGTTAGAAAATGAGGGTGAGCTTTACAGCATTACATTCAGTCATTTTACAAAAAACTTGTATTTACATGTATTTACCCCATGTCGTTATAGCATGTTATAGCTGGTATCCAATTATAAGGAATTCCATTTGCACATCATGGTTCCGAACTTCCTCCGTTTGAAGCGCAGCCAAATTCAGGCTTCAGACTTCACAGACTTCCCTTCAGGAAGTAATTACACGGTTGAAGAGCAAGAAATGATGGCCCCGTTGAAATCTTGTGGTTGAGTCACAAAAATATCATTTCATAATTGACTAATGGTTATAGATATTAATGGATATCTGGTTGGTGGTTTCAACACCTCCGAAAAATTATAGTCAGTTGGGATTATTACTCCCAATATATGGAAAAATGAAAAAAGGTCGAAACCACCAATCAGATATACTTAACCATATATTTGACTAATGGTTATTGAGTCAACCTAGCCGATTTTAGCTCATGGATATCAATGAATACTAATGAGATACAACCATTCATGAGGCTTAGCCGTAGCCAACAATTGGAGATTTAAGCAACCAGATTTATAGCAGACTTGTCTGGTTCATCCCATTTCGAGGTATGGAAAACAACACCAAAAATGACACTGGTTGTTTCCAAATATTGGTCACTTGTCATTGGATCACAGCCCCAAAGATAGCATTATATGTGTGTGATTGTCATTAATATAACTTCTATAGTAATTATATATATGTGTATATATACATATATAAAACTTGTCCTTTGCTGTTTGAACCCTTCAATCCTGTCTTGCTCTGTCAACCCATTATTTGTGAAACGACGCCGCGGCAGGTCGGCCCAAGGCACACACCGAAACCATGGTCCGTTGAACCGCTTGGGTGAGAGAATAGAACAACATAGACTATAGATATAGTGTATACTGTATATATATATATGTATATATATGTATATATGTATGTATATACAAATCCCATTTGACTAGACTCATATTATATCAACTAATATCAACTGTAGACTGGATAAGGGTTTCCTAAAATGGGGGTACCCCTTTATCGCTGGATGGTTTATTTCATGGAAAATCCTACTGAAATGGATGATTTGGAGGTAGCCCTATTTCAGGAAACCTCCATACATTAATGGGATAATAAGAACTAACCAATGGGATATGTTGGTCCTATATCCGTATCAATCATCAATGGTATGTTAGTCCCACATCTTCTTTGGGTATGGGCTAGTTTTCCAATTTCTAAAGCTTCAAACCGTCTGCAATTTCACCCAGAGGGTAAACACCCTGTTTTGGATGGTCAATCCGCCGGGCTTTTTTTGGTCAGTGACTTGTCAGAAATCACCCACATAAATAAAGGGACAGGTCCCTTGCTAGTAATTGGCTGGTTTATTTGACCCTTTGCCAAATGGCTCATCTCTGATACCCTTCAGAAAACGTTGTCTTTCAGCTGAGTATATTGTATGATCTTTCCCCAGAACAATACGCAGCTTTGTTGGGTTGCCTTCATATCTTCCCATTACCACACATATGCACATATACGCGCATATATGCACATATATGCACATATGATGTGCCACGGTTGAAACATGATATAGATGTCGAACTATGGGGTATGCTCATCCCACAGTCGCTTCAAATGGCGCCGATCTGCCAAACTGACGTGGATAGATTTCGCGTTGTTCTTCGACGTCGCGGGAGATGCTTCAAGGGCGGTGATGCAGCTCCCAGGCAAGGCGTCACTGTTGCGAAATCCCCAGTTGGTAGATGGTAAACATCCCGTTTCCCATGATATTTACAGTGTTTCATAATGTTTCATAGTTACCATAGTTACATACCCCTTACTTGTTCCCTAGGATGCTTTACGAAGCATTTTATAGAGAAAATTGGCTATAAAATGGTCCTCCGTCAGCCAGCATATAGACAGCAAGTGGGAACCCTCTATGAAATGACCTCTCCGTCATCTCTATGAAATGCTTCTCCGCAGACGACGCAACAACCCAGTCTTTCCGCCTTTCCACCAACGCGCGCGCGCGCGTTAAACACGCGCGCGCGCGTTGGCGGAACCCCGACTCGTAGCGCCAGCCGGCCGAGTTACGACGGGGAACAACACAACGGGAGAACAGCAACGGGAAAATGATGCAAAATGAGAAATGTCACTTTTATGAGAAAAAGTTGCTTTTGTACCATAGTGAAATGTTAAAATTTGTGCAGATCTATCTATCTATCAATGTTAAAATGAATGTTTTCCCAAAAAAAAATACCAACAAAGCCATTTGTGGTACTTATTTTTTGACGGTAACATTTTGGAAAGAATCCCCCTATAAAATGCATAATCTATCTGCAACGTCTTGTACCTTTCTATCATCTTTCATGCTGGGAAGGAAGCTCTCTATAAAATGATAAAATAGGGAGCTCTGGAGGGGCATTTTATAGACAGCCAAGCCAGTCCTCTATAAAATGGGTCCCGGAACAGCATTTTATAGAGTCAAAGCATCGGCATTTTATAGAGGATCAACTTAGGGGTATATAGTTACCAACTGTTGGAGTTCGCAACCGCAGTATGTCTAGCAATGAAAAAGCTCAACCCCATGTTGAAGATTTGAATTGGACTGAATTGAAAAAAAAACAACTCTTACCCTCTGGTAAATTAACATAGACCCTGAACATAGTCATTTTCTGCTAAATTCACACTTCCAACCCCCATCTGCCAGGGTCTATGTCAAATTACTGGTGGATAGATTTCAAATCGGAGTCTCCCCATGTCTCTCGCCTCCCGTGACATTCGTCGTGAAACCCCCCGTGCCATCAGTGCCATCAGTGCCATCAGTCCCTGTCCCTCGTCCTGCGCGGTGGTCTAGCTAGGTTACCAGCCATGATGGTCATTAAATAAATAAATAAACAAAAGACATAAACAAATTATTATTACAATGCATATTCATATGTGTAATATATATATATGTATATTGTGAAACCACAAAGCATCCCAGTCTTTGTCCAGTTCCTTTGCAGGTCCTTCAAACATGTTGCCATGCACTGCAGCCGGTTTAGGCTGAGGCAGCCAGAGGTGGGAGTGGAGCGGAAACCGCTTGGAGCCATTTGACTGTGGCCAGTCATCCTTTTGCCGTGGACGGCCTTCCAACTGGGGTTCCTTAGAACCATTCTGGTCTTTGCAGCTGCAACAGGTAACATCGGATCTTGTCGCTGTGCAGTTTGAGGGAAAACAGCCAGTGCGTGTGAGATCTGAGGTGTTTTCAGTTTTGCGTTACCAGTGTTGATTCCAATCACACTGGTAGCGGAGCGCTACCAAGCTCCAGGGGAACCAATTTGCCTTTGGAGTTTTCATGTCGCAAGCCAATGGCGAATCAGGGGAGGGAAACACTGCAACCTCCAACAACATGGCTACTTTGGTCCCAAGCGATGATCCTTCGAAAGATGATTTAGAGCAATACACACAGAAAGTGGAACTTCTTGCCGAAATTTGGCCATCAACGAAGATCAATGAACTGATTGCACGGTTGGTGTTGAATACAACAGGTACTGCTTTTCAGAAACTCCAGCTGAATCGTGAGAAACTCATGACAGGTGACAAGGCTGGAGTGGAATTGCTTGTGTCTCTTCTTGGGGGACAATGGGGCAAAATCAATCTGGAAAGAAAGTACGAGATTGTGGAGAAAGCATTGTTCAAGTGTGTGCAACGCCAAGATGAATCCAACGACTCATTTCTGGCAAGATGTGATGTGGTTTGGTCGGAATTGAAAGCCAAAAAGATAGATCTAGATGCTGTTCATGCCTACATAGTGCTCAGGGGTTCACTGCTGAACACAGAAGACAAGAAGAGGGTCATTGTGGAGAGCGAGTCCACAAAAGATGGCACATTGACCGTAGAGAAAGTGAGCCAAGCCGTACGAATGTTAGGCACTGCATTCTTCAATGATCTGATTGGTCAGAAGAAGTCCAAAGGAAAGATATATGATCACCAAGCTTTTGTGACCGAAGATGTTGATGAAACTGGTGGAGATGGAATGATTTGCAATGCCGATGATGTGACTGAAGATGATTTTCTGGAACAGTTGCTGCATGATGAGGACGAAGACGCCATTCTCGTCGCCGACTATGAGGCAGCCATGACCGAGACAGTCCAGACGGACGAAGACTTGGCAGCAGCATTTTCCTCCTACACCGAGGCACGAAAAAGGTTGTCAGATAGATTCAAGAATCGGGGATTCTGGCCCATTAGTTCCTCCAAAGGAAAAGGGAAGTTTCAGTCATTCAAAGGTAAGGGGAAATCATTCAATCGTGGTCCCAAGAAGTCGTTGCAACAAAGGATACTTGAGTCAACATGTAGATACTGTGGAAGAAAAGGACATTGGAAGGCAGAATGTCCAGATCGACAGAAAGGTAATGCTTCCGTGGGATCAACCAGCACATCAGCAGCCATGACGACCACTGCAGTAGCCTCCCATGACATGAATGAGCCGAACGCTTTGCCCATGGAATTTATGCAGCTCCCTTTTGTCCAAGAGCCAGTGCTTGATGACACTTGCATGCATGATGTTAATACCATTAGTACCATTTCTGAAGGGCTCCGGGAACGTCTCCGAGTAAAGGGTAGTCGGGGTAACGTAATGTCAAACAACCTGAAGAGCCACTTTCCCAGGAATGAAGTCCATCGAACTGCACCAGCTGAGACATCCGTTGGACGTAGCATTTCCGAGCCTGAGCTGATTTTCTTTGCATCTCACGGATCATGCGGAATCCTTGACACTGGAGCCACCAAGTCCGTGGTGGGCAGCAAATTGCTGCCTTCGCTGATTGAGAGCCTCCCTGCGGAAATCCAAAAGCAGTTGTTCAGAACCAATTGTGATATAACTTTCCGCTTTGGAAATCAAGGTACTCTTGACAGTCAGCAAGCGTTGGTCATTCCCCTGCAGTCATTAGGTTTAGGGCTGAAAATTGCGATCGTGAAGGGAGAGACTCCACTGCTTTTGTCAAATACTTTGATCCGAACCCTCAAAGCCAGCATAGACACGGAACGCCAGGTCCTCTCAAGTCCACTGTTGACACATGATGTGCACCTGAAGCTCAGCCACAAGGGATTGTACATGCTTGATGTAAAAGACCTGGTAATGTCACAGCATGGACAGTTTAAAAGAGTGGGATCTGCCGTGGCCGAGACCTTTGTCAGCGTTTCTCCAACGAGTAAAAAAGAAGAGACGCCAGAGTCCAGTGAGATTGAAGCCGATCCGGAGAAGCAAGCCAAGTTGAATCAGTTGAAGTCACCATCAGAAGCCCAACAAGAAACTGTCGTGCATGTCACCTCCCGGTGTCAAGGGGTTGCATCCGAAACAAGTCATGCAGAGATCTATAGGCCCAAAGCCGTGTCCCATAGTTTTGTAAAGCTTGCGCAGTGTGCACATCCGAGTCTTAGCAATGAGCCTTTCATCCCGCATCGATCGTGTGCTTCAGGGCAATCCAGAGGGAATCGAAGCATTCCAACAGCTGAGCCTGGCCGAGATGGCCGAGACACGTGTGACCTTCGGCAGAACCCATGTGGGCAAAACCTACGAGGAGCTGTGGAATCAGGAGAAAGGATGGATCAAATGGTTCTGCAAGACGTATCAGGACAGCACAAAGGAAGAACACCGCAAGCTGTTGATCTATGTCGAGAGGAAGGTGGAGCGTCTCGAACTGGAACACGAACTGCCAACTTTGGAGGCACCAGCAGTCCAACAAGGGATCGTTCGACCTCGCAGCAAGGCCATGCCAAAGGCCAAGTCTGCATCGACTCCTCCGACAGAGACAGTGACGGTGGACGACACGAATATCAGCGAGGAGATCTGGGAACCGTGGGATGTGACCCTGCCAATGGATGGAGCCGAAATGATTTCTCAGCAGGAGAACATTGGAGCTTTGCAGGTACGAGTTCTCAACATCGAGAACGCCTTGACGGAGATTCTCACGTTGATCCGCCCTCCGAACTGAGTGGCCCAGTAGATCCAATATGCATGGCCGGAGACTTTGATTGGGATTTTCGTGATAACACTCTCAAAGCCAACATCATGAATCAACGTCAAAGAACTTTCAACAAACATGTTCAACAAATATCCCAAGAACTTCAAGAGGTCTCAGATTCAGTTGGAAATCGCCATGAGCCAGTGATCCAAGTGCTTGAAGTGTTTTGCGGACCCCAAAGTGAGTTGACCAAACAAACCAACCAGCTGGGGTACCGAGCATGCAGATTCGGGTTACAAGAAGGGGATCTGGCAACAACTGCTGGTAGAAAATTGTTGTTTCAAAAGGTAATCACTTGCAGACCCCAACACTTGTGGTACAGTCCAACATGTGGTCCTTGGTGTTCATGGAGTCATTTGAATGAAGCCCGAAGTGAAGCCGGATTTCAACAGGTTCAGCAGGAACGAGATGAGCACTTGTATCAATTAGCCTTGGGTCTTGTGCTGTATCGACACCAGCAGGACCATTGCCGTCACATGCATTGGGAGCAGCCGGCTCGATCCATCATGCTTCGCACACCCATGCTTCATGAAGTAACGATGGGTACCAAGATAGCCCAATTTGACATGTGTAAGGTAGGAGCCATGCGAGATCCACAGAACCAAATGTTGTACAAAAAGGGCATGGAGATTGCTACAACTTCACAACAATTTTACTTTCAACTTCATGGAAGGTTTTGCAACAAACAGCATGAGCATCAACAGCTATGTGGAGAAACCGTCCACAAGGGTCACCGCCTGAAAAGAACTGAGTTTTCCGAGAACTATTCCCGAAAGTTCTCGAGAACAGTTGCCAAAGTTTTGACATCCATCAAATGCATCAAGGAAAAGCCATTTCCAAGTGAAGCAGCATTTGCAGCCGTGCACAAAAGACCGAGCCGGACGCCTGATGGCTCCCAACCAAAGCGAGCGAAGCTGAGGAATAGTGAGCTGATCGAACCAAGTCAAATGCCAGCCAAGAGACGGCGCCTCCGTGAGAAGAGCACTGAGGAAATTAACATGCCTAAACTTTGCGAAAGCATTTGCACAAGAATCATGAATCAAGCCCCCAGAGTTGGTCGAAAAGAAATTCATGATTCCAAAATCCTTGAGGACATAAAGACCTTGTTTCATGATAAGAAGGTAATTCGAATCATGATATGTAAGGGAACTGAACGAACAGTAGTACCACCTAAAGATATGGTCCCCGAGGAAGCTCCATTCCGAAGAGCCATAATCATCCAGCGTGTCACCAAGAAAATACAAATTGAGGATGAATGGGAAGAATGGAAGTATTTGTCAGCCAGACAACAATGGAGGAGATCACACCCCAGCTTTCTGAATATAACAGTGTTCGCTCGAAATCATGACCTTGAATCTGCCAGCGACATAATTCAGCCAGCCGAGCCAGCAAGTGCGACACAATCTCCGACCTTGGAAAGGTCATCTGCAAGCAACGTGCCAGAGGCGAACCTGGAAGCACCGTCGTCCTTGCCAAGTCCGAATGTCCCTGAAGTTCCAATGACGCCCAGTCAAGTAGATGAAATCAGCCAAGATCATGGTCCCAAGTTTTTGTCAATGTCAGCTGAAAATCGGAGACTTGCACTTAGGATGCATAAGAACTTAGGACACCCTGAACCAGCCAAGCTTAGCAAGATCCTACAGCAGCGGGGATACAGCCAAGAACTGTCACAGGGAATTATGGACTTGAAGTGCTCCGTTTGTCAAATGCAGCAACGTCCAAAGTTGCAAAGGCCCAGTACGCTCAAGGAGGAACTTGAATTTGGGGATAAGATAGCAATGGATGGGGTAAAGTGGACTAATAAGCAGGGTCAAGAATTTCACTTTTACCACTTCATTGACTACGGAACCAACTATCATACAGCAATGATTGCCCCCAATCGTGCCGAAGCTCAAGAAAGACTAATCAGTGGATGGCTCAACTGGGCTGGTCCACCAAATGAGATCCTTCTTGACTCAGCCACAGAGTTCCTATCGCAGCAGTTTGTAGAATTCCTGCAAAGTATAAATGTGCGTTGCCAAGTGATTCCGCCAGATGCACATTGGCAGTTGGGCCGCATTGAACGTCATGGAGGAGTGTTGCAACATATGTTGTCTAAGTATGAACTTGAACATGATGTGACCAACTATCAGCTGTTGCAACAGGCCCTGACACAATGCACTATGGCGAAGAATGCATGCAGCCTGAAGCAGGGGTACTCTCCCGAGACATTGGTCTTTGGTCGTGGTTTGCGGGTGCCGGGCTCCATTGTAGGTGATGACACTTTACCAGCACATGCACGAGCTGACAGTGAAAATCAATCAGGAATAAGGTTTAGAGACATGCTAGCCAAGCGTGAGACAGCCCGGAAAGCATTCCATGCCGCTGACAATGACATGGCTCTAAGACGAGCTACCTTGAGACGTGATCGGCCACACAGAGGTGCTTACAGTCCTGGGGAATGGGTAATGGTTTGGAAAAACAATATCAACAAAGGGTCTTGGATTGGTCCAGCCAAAGTAATAATCCAAGATGGAAATAACACGGTTTTCTGCAATAACATGGGTTCAATAGTTCGGGCAGCACCGGAACATATCAGACCTGTGAGCGCAGTGGAGGCCAGGTTAATTCCTTTAGAGTCCCGAATTCAAGCCATGGGAACACAGTCCGGAACCAGGAGTGAAGCATGCCAAAATGTACCGAGAGAGGATGTCAGTCTTCCAAATCCGAACACAAATAACAGTAACCAGTCACCTGAAAACCAACACGTCCCTGAGACAAGCAATAATCAAAGACCTTCCAGCCAGGTTTCTTCCGAACAACCTGATCAAGAACCAGATAACAATTCCCAGGATCAGAATAACAATAACTCCACTCCCAATAGTCCTGAACATAATAACAATAATCTACATGATAACCCCGAACTTCAACCTCATGAAATTCCTGTGCCTGACACAAGCAGCGATGAACTGTTTTGCGATCTCCTGGTGAGTGTAGACGATGACAACAACAATGTCATCAGCCCAGATGGCCAAGATGTCGTGTGGAGAGCAGAACTTGAATTTTCCAGAGAACAGCTGAATGCAGTGTGCCATGTAAGTCAGCAACCTTCTGAAGAAGAATTGGTGTTTCTTGCAACAGCATCAAAGAAACAGAGAACCGAAGTGAAACTCAGCACACTAGATCCAGCCGAAAAGAAGGAATTCGAGTTGGCCAAGACCAAGGAAGTGAACAATTGGCTTCAGACTGGCACCGTAGCACGCATGTTCCGACATGAGCTGGCCCCTGAACAAGTGTTGAAATGCCGATGGTTGTATGTTTGGAAACCAGTGACAGAGCCAGCCGATCAGAAAGCCAATGGTGGTAAAAGCCGAGTTGCCAAGGCCAGATTAGTAGTACTGGGATACCAAGACCCTCAACTAGATACTATTCCCCGAGACAGTCCAACTTTGGGAAGAACTTCCAAAATGCTGATTGCCCAAGTCATCGCATCCATGCATTGGACACTCATGTCGTTTGATATCAAAGCTGCATTCCTTCAGGGGAGAACTCAAGAAAATAGAGTCATAGCGATTGAGCCAGTGCCTGAGATGGTGGATGCCATGAACCTGAAACCAAACGAGGTATGCCGTTTGGTGAAGTCAGCATATGGCCTCATAGATGCTCCGTTCCTGTGGTTCTCGGAATTGGACAAAACTTTGAGGTCTCTGAACTTTCTGCCATCACCATTTGATCCGTGTTTGTACTTGTATTACCATGACCATTCCAAAGGACCTTCTGGAATCTTGGGTGTGCACGTAGATGATGGGCTTTGCGGTGGTGATGAACACTTTCAGAAAGCAATCCACGAACTGGAGAAGAAATTCCCTTTTGGCGCAAAGAAATCACAGAATTTCGTGTTCACTGGCATAGAGATGAATCAACAAAATGATCACAGTATTGTCATGTCACAGGAGAAGTACATCACCAAGATCAATCCAATTCACATTCAACCTGAACGAAAAGCTCAACTTGAATTACCAGTCACTGAACGTGAACGTCAAGATCTTCGTGCACTTATAGGGTCCCTTCAATATGCATCGGTGAATACCAGACCAGATTTGGCAAGTCGGTTAAGCTTCTTACAGAGCGATATCAACAAAGCTACAATTGAAACTCTCATACAAGCAAACAAAACTTTACATGAAGCCAAAAGACACAAAGAAACTTCAATCAAAATTCAGCCAATTCCCATGGACAAAATTCGCTTTCTTGCGTTTTCTGATGCGTCCTTCGCATCGAAGAGACAGCCGGAATCCCACACTGGCACTATGATCATGACCACACATGAGAACATCGGTAAGAACCATGTTTGTGTTGTGAACCCGATCAGTTGGGGCTGTAAGAAGATACAACGGGTAGTGACAAGTACGTTATCGGCTGAGACGACGTCATTGAACACTACGCTTGACCAACTTTCCTGGTTGCGTTTGTTTTGGAGCTGGATTCGTGACCCTCAAACCAATTGGAAAAATCCAACGGAAACCTTGAAGAAACTTCCAGAAACATTTGCCACTGCCACCTTTAACACTACAGATTTCACACGATGAAAATGAGATCCTGAAGCAACGAGCATCCATGCGAACTCGTGTCAAATGGCTGCAAACGTGTGAATCCAAAGAAAATGACACTTAAAGTTTTGAAACTTCTTTTGGGAGTGTGAAACCACAAAGCATCCCAGTCTTTGTCCAGTTCCTTTGCAGGTCCTTCAAACATGTTGCCATGCACTGCAGCCGGTTTAGGCTGAGGCAGCCAGAGGTGGGAGTGGAGCGGAAACCGCTTGGAGCCATTTGACTGTGGCCAGTCATCCTTTTGCCGTGGACGGCCTTCCAACTGGGGTTCCTTAGAACCATTCTGGTCTTTGCAGCTGCAACAGGTAACATCGGATCTTGTCGCTGTGCAGTTTGAGGGAAAACAGCCAGTGCGTGTGAGATCTGAGGTGTTTTCAGTTT